TGACCATGTGCTTGCCTGCCTGATTGAATAGTCCATAGAACATAACCCAACTATCTTCCCTTCTACTTCCCATCCCCTTTCCTCTTCCCCTCTCCTTTCCTTTTCCTTCTTTTCCTTTCTTTCTTTCATTTTTTTAGGGAGGTAGGAATGGGTGGGAACAGTGTTTTGCTGTCCTGTCTAGGCTGGTCTCCAAATCTTGGTTCAAGTGATCATCTTGCTTGAGCCTTCTGAATGGTGTTTGCTATTGTGCCCAGCTCTGTAACCACTTCTTAGCATGTAACCAGGACCACTATTGTGATCAGTAAATGTTAAATGATAGTCTGAGATTCATTGGCATCTAATAAATAAAAGAGCTAAACCAGGTACATTTAAGTGTGTATCCTTGATTAATTTTCTAGACTCAAGATTTGCGTTTAGGGCTAGGAATGTGACTTAGTGGTAGAGTGCTTGCCTAGCATGCATGAAGCCCTTTCAATTCTTCAGTACCACATAAACAGAAAAAGCCAGAAGTGGCGCTGTGGCTCAAGTGGTAGAGTACTAGCCTTGAGCAAAAGAAGCTCAGTGACAGTGCCCAGGCCGAGTTCAAGCCCCAGGACTGGCAAAAAAAAAAAAAAAAAAAGATTTGCCTTTAATAAACTCTTGTCTGTATTTCCAACTGTTTCTTTGGTCTTCTATCTTACTGTAGGGCAATTAATTAATCCCTTCTTACCCTTTACCTTTACCAGTAACCTTCCTGTTTCTGTCCATTATTGATCAGCTGGTAATGAGTACCAGATTGGTTGATATTGTTACCAGCACCCCTTCTGAGTGCTGGGTCTATCCTAGCATTTCCAGAGTGGCAGGAGTGCAGGGGAAGGAACTACTTTGGTTTCCTTGGACTATCATGTATTGAGAGGAAAGCTCCTCACCGTCTCTATGTCATTTTTTGGCCTCTGTGGGTCTTGTTGTCTTGATTTAGTTAGAGCTCTGTAAAGGCCATGAGTTAGTCATGTCTTCCAGTAACAGGCTGGGACTGCAAGTGGCTGAGGGAAGTCATGAGATTAACCTAGAGTGACCTGACTTACTCATCTCACCAAGGGAATTACATCTTTAGTGGTTTGGAAAACCTTGGATTTGACTTTTTGAACTTCATTGAGAAACCAAGTCAAGTTACAGGCTTCACATGATGAGGGTAAGCTGGAAAGAAAACATTTGAAAAGACACCTCTAGAATTATTAAATACAAATAAACATAAATCAAGGAGGCCCTACACCTGGAATTGAAGCTTTTTAGATTCACGACTGAGGGCTTGGGGGAAGAAAACAAAAACAGCCTGGCATGGTTGTTGATTTTTGACATTAGATAACTTGGCAAAGTTGACCTAGACCTATTTTGAGTCCCCTACTTGGCTCTCTGGCCTGGATTTTATGTGTACAAATTGACATTTACCCTTGGTCACTTTTTCTGCTTAGTGGTGGGCAAGGCCAACATAGATGGTAAGTATTTGTGTTATAAGCAGCTTCTCCTATGGAAAGTAGAAATCTCCTCTAAGGAGACCCAAGAGATTTGGGCAAAGCTTTCTTTAAGATACTAGCCTTGTTTGAACAAGGGTTTAGTATTGAAACTTCCTCTTCTCTACCATCTAGTAGATCACTTTGGATTAACTGCTGCAAAGAGTCAGGGACCATGAGGTCAGGTGACCAGGATTTTAAACTTGGTTGATTCCTAAATCTCTATTTTCTTATCTATAAAAAGGCTAGGTTGCCAGGTGTTATTGGCTCATACCTATAATCTTAGCTACTCAGGAGGCTGAGATCCAAGGATTATGGTTTATAGCCAGCCTGGGCAAGAAAGTCTGTGAGACTCTTATCCCCAATTAACCAGCAAAAGCTAGAAGTGGAGTGGAGCTGTGGCTTGAGTGGAAGCGTACCAGTCTTGAGCAAAAAGTTAAGGGACAGCCTCTAGGCCCTGAGTTCAAGCCCCAGTATGCACCCTCCTCTCTCCCCTTTCTCTTTCTCTTTCTCTCTCTCTCTCTCTCTCTTTCTCTCTCTCTCTCTCTCTCTCTCACACACACACACACACACACACACACACACACACACACACAGACTAAGTAACAATTATTTTTTTTGCCAGTCCTGGGGCTTAAACTCAGGGCCTGGGCGCTGTCCCTGAGCTTCTTTTGCTCAAGGCTAGCACTCTACCACTTGAGCCACAGTGCCACTCAGGCCTTTTCTGTTCATGTGGTACTGCGGAATCAAACCCAGAGCTTCATGCATGCTAGGCAAGCACTCTACCACTATGTCACATTCCCAACTCCAAGGTTACAAGTTTTAGATGAGGGGTGACTGCAATCAAGAGAAAGTACCTCTGGCTACTTTGAGTAAGAAGGGAATCCTTCAATCAAAGGTACTGTGAGATCTCAGGCCATCCAAGTCCTCTGAATAGATTGACTGTGCTGGGGTCCCTCAGCACCTGTAGCTGATACTTCTACACAGCTACCCAGTGCCCTGGAGGAAGAAAGATTAGGGTTATCATGGGGGAAAGAAAACTGGACATCAGACAATTTAAAAGTCCAGGGCAACCAGGCGCCAGTGTCTCACACCCTTAATCCTAGCTACTCAGGAGGCTGAGATCCGAGGATCCCGGTGCAAAGCCAGTCTGGGCAGGAAAGGCTGTGAACTCTTATCTCTAATAAACCATTCAGAAAACCAGAAGTGGTGCTGTGGCTCAAGTGGTAGAGCACTAGCCTTGAACTGAAGAGCTGAGGGACAGTGCCCAGGCCCAGAGTTCAAGCCCCATGACTGACTGGAAAAAAAAAAAGTTCAGGACAAACAGCTCTCAACTTCTCACTTCATAGGTATTCGGACAGAACTGTGTCTGATCCATTATATTCCTTTTGAACTGGAAGGATATGTAATCATGTTTTTTCTCATCATGACATACATGTAGCACACATTACTAGTTTCTGTTTAGCAGGTCTGACCCAGAGGGAATGAGACAACTTTTGTATTCTGACACTTTTCCTGCCCGTCTATGTATTCTGTCATGATTACAGACTTTAAGGATTAAAAGAAAACGAAATCATGTAGGCTAGACTCTTTTAAAGTGTCCTGCTCATATTAGATTTTTACTATAGTATAGAGTTTACTACTCTGCACTACAGATTCATCTGTCCATGTGTGTGTGTGTTTATGTGTGTGTGAGCACACGTGCATGTGCATCACTTCTGGGGCTTAAACTCAGCCTGGTCACTGCCCCTGAGCTTTTATGCTCAAGGCTATCACTCTGGTACCTGAGTCACAAATCCATTTCTAGCTTTTTGGTGATTAATTGAAGATAAGAGTCTCACAGACTTTTGCTGCCCAGACTGGTTTCAAACTGTGATACTCCGATTTCAGCCTCCTGAGTAGCTAGGATTACAGGTATGAGCCATCAGCACCTGGTAGGCCTCATTTTTAAAAATGAATTTTCACTTGAATTTAAGTTAGAAATAAAGACATTACTAAATAAGTTAAAAGCCAGACTGAATCTGTGGATTGAAGTGAAAACTATGAAAATGTTTCAGGAGCAAACTATAACTCAGAGAGTTTCTTGGCTTTAATTTCCTGGTTAAGGCACCCCTTGACCTATGGTCTTCCCCTATCATGAAAGAATGGAAAGAAAATAATTGTTTGTTTTTGGTTTTGAGGTTTGTTTTTTTTTTGGCCAAGTCCTGAGTTCAAGTCCTGGGGCTTAAACTCAGGGCCTGAGCACCATCCCTGAGCTTCTTTTTGCTCAAGGTTAGCACTCTACCACTTGAGCCACAGTGCTACTTCCAGCTTTTTCTGTTTACGTGGTGCTGAGGGATGGAACCCAGGGCTTCATGCATGCTAGGAAGGCACTCTACCACTAAGTCACATTCCCAGCCCCTTGTTTTATGAAAATCTTGTCCTAGGCTAGGAATGTGGCTTAGTGGTAGAGTGCTTGGCTAGCATGCATGAAGCCCTGGGTTTCATCCCTCAGTACTATATAAACAGAAAAAGCTGGAAGTGGTGCTTTGGCTCAAGTGGTGAGCACTAGCCTTGAGCACTGAGAGGCTCAAGGACAGAGCCCAGGCCCCCAGTTCAAGCCTCAGGACTGGCAAAGAAAGAAGGAAAGAAGGAAGGAAGGAAGGAAGGAAAAAAGGAAAGAGAGAGAGAGAGAAAGAAAGAAAGAAAGAAAGAGAGGGAGAAAGAAGGAAGGAAGGAAAAGCTTGTTCCTAGGCTTCATTTCCTTCCCGTATTTTAGCTTTAATTTGCAGTCTTCAGTCTCTAAATAATTACTATATTGGAAATGTTATTGAAAAATATACATTGGGGGGCTGGGAAGGTGGCTCAGTGGTAGAGTGCTTGCCTTGCATGCATGAGGCCCTGGGTTCGATTCCTCAGCACCACATAAGCAAAAAGAAAAAAGCCGGAAGTGGCGCTGTGGCTCAAGTGGTAGAGCGCTAGCCTTGAGCTGAAGAACTGAGGGACAGCGCCCAGGCCCAGAGTTCAGGCCCCACGACCAGACCCAAATATATATATATATATATATATATATACACATTGGAAAGAGGGAAGGGAAAGTGGTTGAGGGTGTGAGATTGATAGGAATATATCATAAGTATGTGTGGAAGTTAACAACAAAATCCCCCTTATATAACTAATGTAAGCTAATAAAAGATATGTATCTATATATACACATATGTAATGTGGATATTACATGTGTATATGTGCATACATATACATTATATACATATAGATACATACACACACACACACACACACACACACACACACACACACACACACACACACACATATATATTTGAGGGCTGGAGATGTGGCTCACGTGGAAGAGCACCAGCCAAGGCAAGCAAGCCTAGCAAGGTAAGGTCCTAAGTTTAAGCTCTACTACAAAAAAAAAAGTGTGAAAATTTTAACTTCAATATTGATGAGAAGGGAAGGTCTTGCTTATTAAAGTGGTGTCAATTTTCAAACAAAATCTTTTTCTTTTAGGGAACTCAGGAACAAGGCAAATGTTCAGTTCAGAGACAATGGAACAACAATATCTGCTGTTAGCAATAAGGCATATGTTTTTGAAAGAAATCAATCTGTTGGAGACCCTAAAGTTGACTTAATTAGAACCATAAATATTCCTGTAATGGTAAGTTGGTATTTTAGTATAATGCTTGTGGCTTTTAGAAGAGGAAAAGATAAGGCTGTCATGGTTTTACCTAACTTAGGAACTATTATATTTGTTCATACACATCTAGATAGACCCGGGTTGTGGTTTAGTGGAACAGAATTTGCATATATGACTCTCTGGGTTGGGTAGCTAAACACTGATAGTGGACTAGGTCCTAGAGAGTACAGATCAGATCCTGTCCTGCCACACTGTCTACTTGTGCAATTTATGAAGGCCTAGCAACCAGTCTGGATCAGCGGGACAGTTACACCACCTTGTGGCTAATGATGCCACTGTATTTGCAAGAGCTTTTCTCTTGTGACAGGACAGTCTGCAAATGACCATACTTAGCTCATATATTCAAAATGTAATATACAAAAAAAAAAAAATAAGTAAATAGTCTTATTCCTCTAAATGCAGCCAGAGAAGAGTTCACTGTCATGTGTGTATGTGTGTGTGTGTGTGTGTGTGTGTGTGTGTGTGTGTGTGTGTGAGAGAGAGAGAGAGAGAGACAGACAGACAGACAGACAGAGAGACAGACAGAGAGAGACAGAGACAGAGAGGTACTGTAGCTTGAACTCAAGAGCCTGCATGCTGTCCCTTAGCTGTTTTTGCTCAAGGCTTAGGCTCTACCACTTGAGCCACAACTCCACTTGCAGATTTTTTGGTAGTTAATTGGAGATGAGAGTCTCATGGAAGTCAGATGCCACTGGGTCACGCCTATAATCCTAGCTACTCAGGAGGCTGAGATTTGAGGTTTGCAGTTCAAAGCCAGCACTGCCAGGAAAGTCCATGAGACTCTTATCTCCAGTAAATGACTCAGAAAAAACCAGAAGTGGTACTGTGGCTCAGGTGGTAGAGCACTATCCTTGAGCACAAAGGCTCAAGAACAGCACCCAGGGCCTGAGTTCAAGCCCCAGGACCAGCAGGAAGGAAGGAAGGAAGGAAGGAAGGAAGGAAGGAAGGAAGGAAGGAAGGAAGGAAGGAAGGAAGGAAGGAAGGAAGGAAGGAGGGAGGGAGGGAGGGAGGGAGGGAAGGAAGGAAGAAAGGAAGGAGGAGGAAAGGAGGGAGGGAGGAAAGAAAGGAAGAAAGGAAAAAGGAAGGAAGGAAAGAAAGAAAAAAAGAAAGAAAGAGAAAAGAAAGGAAGGGAAAGAGAAAGAAAAGAATAGAAAAGAAAAGAAAGGGAAAAGAATAGAAAAGAGAAGAAGAGTCTCATGGACTCTCTAGCCCAGGCTGGCTTCAAACCGCAAATCCTTAGATGTCATTCTCCTGAGTGACTAGAATTGTAGGTGTGGGCCATAGCACCCACACCCTGGCTAATTTTTCAGCTATTCAATGTCAACATTTTTCATCAAAGTTTCTAGCTCCCAGTGCTGAGGGGTAGAAAAAAGTGTGTGTGATACTTTGGAGGAGACAATCATGTGTGAACTTGTCTCTGCTCCTCAGACTGTCATAGAATGGTCCCAGAACCACTTCATCAGAGAGATCATCGAGGCCATGCTGAAAGCCTATGAACAGAAGCTCTTTGTGACTCACACAGTTGATGAATTGCTCTGGGGCTACAAAGATGAGATCCTGTCTCTCATCCATATCTTCAGACCCGATATCTCCCCCTATTTTGGCCTGCTCTTTGGGGTAAGTTGAGTTTTTTTTTCCCCCCAAGCTTCTTTATTCCTCTGACAGTGGGGAAAAGGACTGACACCCATGTCAGATTTCATCTTAATTCTGGATTAAGGGAAAATCACAATCAGAAAATGTCTACAGATCTAAATATGTAAAGTACATGAGAAATAAGAAAGTAGAAAACATAGTAGTAAAATGGATAGTTGGAAAGTAGGTAATAGCAAAAATGTTAGCTTCAGGAAGAAAGTGTTACATACGTTAGCAGCTGGGCTCCAGGATTGTGAGGAGTTTGTGTCTCTTTAAATGTATACTTTTTAAACTGAGTGCCAATAGCCTCATCTTTGTAATCTCAATACTGGAGGCTAAGGCCTAAACATCGCAATTCAAAGCCAGCCTGAATAGGAAAATTCATAAGACTTTAATCTCTAATTAACCAGCAAAAAGCCATAAGTGGAGGTATGGCTCAAGTGGTAGAATACTAGCCTTGAGTGGAACAAAAGACGAAAATTGTAGTTATTTGGAGGCTCCATCTGTCTATTCTCAATGTAAATCCCATAATGTCTCATTCCTTGTGGCAAAAGGAAATCATTCTGAACCTAACCCCAAGGGTTAGGTTAACAACTTAATAGTTATTCAAACAAAATGATAAGCAAGTTTTGAAAATTGTCTCTGTGACCTAGCTACTCAGGACACTGAGATCTGAGGATTATAATTTGAAGCCAGCCTGGGGAGGAGAGTCCATGAGACTCTTACCTCCAATTAACCACCAAAAAGCCAGAAATAGAAGTAGAGCTGTGGCTCAAGTGGTAGCATCCCATCTTTGAGCACAAAAAGGCTAAGGGACAATGCCCAGGTTTTCAGTGTAAGTCCCAGTGTTGGGGCGCGCGCGCGCGCGCGCGCGCGCGCGCACACACACACACACACACACACAATTACCTCTTTAGAGTGGAGGTCCTTTCTCAACTTTAAATTTGAGAATGGAAATTGTCTATCCCCACACTGACCCTAGATATCAAGGCTGAAAATGACACCTATTATTTTCTTGAATATGTCATCCTTAGCAGATTGTTCCTGATACCGTCTCGCAGAGAGTGCTCAGCCCGCACAGGTGAGACCATTCTCCCCAGGAACATCAGGGAACACCCATCACTTTTCATTGGGAAGCATCCACCCACAATTGATTTCTTAGGGGTTTTGGAATTCCTTTTTTAAAAAAAACTTTGATTTGTTTCCACTCATTTTGGACTGTCTATCAAGGTCTTTGCCCAATCCAAGCCACTCTTCTGAAAGTCATGTAACATTACATTAAATTTCCAATTCCCAAAGCAATCATGCTGTTTCTCTCTTTTAGGTACTGACAACACCCTGTGAGACAATTTTTCTCCCCTAACTCTATAAAAAATATAAGCTTGGCTTTGTCTCATCAACAAGTTGTACCGGTGATATTCAGGGAGCCAAGCTTAACTAAGATTAGAATAACTAAAAAGAAAATACTAAAAAATCCTCAATAATACTTTATTTTTAGAATAAAGCTTATGAAAATTCTAATACTACTTTGTTTCTTATTCCTGCAAATAAGACAGTTAGGAACACAGGCCTTCCTTTTGGTTTATTTATCTGGATTGGTAGAAAATGTTTGGTAACTGTAGTTGTTAAGTTAAAAAATATTGCAGCAAAAAAAAAGAAAGAGTGGAGGTCCTAAAAGAAAAAAAAAAAAAAACCTTTCCACTTCTAAATCTTGCACTCTGGTAAAGCAGTTCAATACATATTCCCAACAAGTTTCATAGGAATACAGCTTCCACTGAGCCAGAGAAAGCACAGATCTTTTGAGAAGTTGCTACTAGGTCTCCCTTCTACTTTCTAGGATGATGTCAGGAGCCCCTCCTTCAGAGAGGTACAAAGGTTTCTTCAAGTTCACTTGATCTCACTGGCTTCAGTCTACCTGCCAGCACGTTCATGGTACCTCTGTTTTTCTCAGATACCATTTAATTGCGTAGCTTACTTCTCTGCTTTTGTATCATTGAATTCATCAAAGTTATAACCACCTGGGATTACGGGGTTGTGAGAATTTCATGAGATAATTCATGCAAAAAAAATTGAAGCCAATATCAGGAATACTATAAATAATAATTAAGGGTGTAGAACTTGTTCGGTTTCCCAGAGATCACAGCTTAGGCAGAATTTCTATGTTGCAGTCTTGTGGAGGATTACTTGCCTTTTTGTTTGTTTGTTTTTTTGGGTCCGGTCATGGGGCCTGAACTCTGGGCCTGGGCGCTGTCCCTCAGCTCTTCAGCTCAAGGCTAGCGCTCTACCACTTGAGCCACAGTGCCACTTCCGGCTTTTTTCTTTTTGCTTATGTGGTGCTGAGGAATCGAACCCAGGGCCTCAGGCATGCAAGGCAAGCACTCTACCACTGAGCCACCTTCCCAGCCCCTTACTTGCCTTTTTTATTTGTCTGTGCTTGTTTTGTTTTGTGCCAGTATCAAGGCTTGAATTCAAGGTAGCATACTCCAGTTTTTTTTTGCTTATGACTGGCATTCTCCTACTTGAGTCATGCCACCAGTCTGGCATATTGTTGATTAATTGAAGATTAATCAGGACTTCAAACTTCTATCCTCAGATCTCAGCCTCCTGAGTAGCTAGGATTACAGGTATAAGCTACTTCTATCACAACATCTAGACTAGTATTTGACCAAACAAGTGGACATAACACTGTCATTACTGTAAATGAGCATATTCACTTATTTTCAGAAAAATGGGACAAATGATGGAGACTATGTTTTTCTAACTGGAGAAGACAATTACCTTAACTTTACAAAAATCGTGGAGTGGAATGGAAAAAGGTAAGTCTAATAACTTGTTGATATAATTGTGTTCACTTAAACTGAACCTACACTGTTGGAAACTGAGTTTTAAGGCTGAGGGTATAGTTTAATGGTAGGACAGATTTGGTATCTGGAAGGGCTCAGTTCCCCACAGCTATCTCTCTTTCCAATGTAGCTTTACATGGTGGAAGAACCAACTGGTGCACTGGTGTTTCTCTTATAAGAGCACTAATCTCCTTCATCAGGGCTCTGTTCTCATGACCTATTCTGAAAGCCCGTCTTCTGTTACCATCACCTCTCAATGTATAAATCTGGAGGGAACATAAGGCCTTTGAACTTGAGATCCTTCTACCTCAGCCTCCTGAGTGCTGGAATTATAGGCATGCACCAAAACGCCCAACTACATGTAACCACTTTTTAAAAACTCCTTACATGCTTTGGGGGCTGGGAATGTAGCTTGTCTAGCATGCATGAAGCCCTGGGTTTGATTCCTAGCACTGTGGCTCAAGTGGTAGAGTGCTAGCCTTGAGCAAAAGAAGCTCAGGGACAGTGCCCAGGCCCTGAGTTCAAGCCCCAGGACTGACCCCCTCCCCCCAAAAAAGACAAAAACAAAACATGCTTTCACTGCTGTGCTTTTAGTGAGGATGATGTCATTTCTGTATTGACCTTTCTTATGATCCTAGAGAAATTCTCCGTTATTTTTGGAAGAAATCTGTTCAGAGGGTAGGGGAGTTAATGGTCTATCATAAATATTAAAGAGCTGGATATGTCTATCCAGACTCCATTTGCTTCTGTCCTGCATTATCAGTGCTAAACTGGATTGTGCTTTAAGTCGATCAATATTTCTAAATCTGAATGTCATACACACTTTTTTAGAGGAAAGAAATGAGTTATGGAGCCATTATCTTGATCAAAATTGACTTGGGGTCAGGACCTACTTTTTCTCCTGTTTTCTCATTCCTAAGTACTCCTGTGAGTGTGAGTGACTAAGATTCTGTGGATAACCAGCTGCAGTTATATCTGGGGAAGTTCTGGTCATCTCAGAGGATCTAAAATCCAGTTTGGTTGTCTTTCCTTGGGTGCTTATCAAATGCAGGTCACTTGACTGGTGGACAACAGACATATGCAATATGATTAATGGAACAGATGGCGATTCTTTTCACCCATTGATAACCAAGGAGGAGGTCCTGTATGTCTTCTCTTCGGACTTATGCAGGTAGGAACTTTAATAATCATTATCATTAAAAAAATTCTCTTTGATTGCAGGATCACCCCAAGTGTGAGGGATATCTATAGATGTACTTATTTATGTATGTTCATGTATATTTATGAATTTTTATGTGCTCTTGGCACATTGAGAGACAGTATCACATGGTGGGTACAACACAGATTCCAGAGCCTGGCTATGCTTGCTTGAATCTAAGTTGCACTGTTCACAGCTGTATAACCTTGGGCAAATTATTTAATCACTGTTTTTCATTTTTCTCCTTTGTAAAATAAGGATACAAGTAGAAACGTTCTATGTGAGGGGGTTCTTATGATGACATAGGAGTTACTCTTTAAAAAAAACTTTTTTTTTGATCAGCCATGCTTGAATTCAGGGCGTGGGTGCTGTCCCTGAGATCTTTTGCTCAAGCCTAGCGCTCCACCATTTTGAGCCACATTGCCACTTCTGGTTTTCTGGTGGTTAATTGTAAATAAGAGTCTCATGGGGACTTTTCAGCTTGGGCTGGCTTTGAACCATGAACTCAAGCTTTCTACCTTCTGAGTAGCTAGAATCACAGTCATGAGACACCAGTGCCTGCCACCATAATCATTTTTTTGTTACAATTTATCTCCTACTTCGGGACTGGGAAGGTGGCTCAGTGGTAGAGCGCTTGCCTTGCATGCCTGAGGCCCTGGGTTCGATTCCTCAGCACCATATAAGCAAAAAGAAAAAAGCTGGAAGTGGCGCTGTGGCTCAAGTGGTAGAGTGCTAGCCTTGAGCTGAAGAGCTGAGGGACAGCGCCCAGGCCCAGAGTTTGGCCCCACGACCAGACCAAAAAAACAAACAAACAAACAAACAAAAAAATTTATCTCCTACTTTATTCCACAGGAAGCTGGCAGAGTTCCTCTCAGTCACTCTTTTGTGTCATTTTCCAGAAGCTTCCATGTTGTAACTGAGCTCCACTGCTAATTTACCATTCTGGCAGATGTTGCATGTTAAGTACATCCCACACTGACTTCTTATCCTTCCATCCTGACAGGTCGGTGCATGTAACATTCAGTGACTTTAAGAGCATTCATGGACTGCCTGCCTTTCACTATACAGTGCCTGCTGAAGTCCTATCCAATACCTCTGACAATGCTGGCTTCTGCCCACCCAGTGGCAATTGCCTGGGCTCAGGAGTGTTGAATGCCAGCATCTGTAAGAATGGTAAGATCTCCCAGAGGGGCCAGGGTTGTGGGTGTCTAGAATGTAGACACGGGGTACAACAGAAAATACAGGGACAGTCATGGGGCTTGAACTCTGGGCCTGGGTGTTGTCCCTGAGCTCTTCAGCTCAAGGCAAGCACTCTACCAGTTGAACCACAGTGCCACTTCCAGTTTTCTGGTGGTTAATTGGAGATAAGAGTCTCATGGACTTTCCTGCCTGGGATGGCTTCAAACGACAATCCTCAGATCTCAGCCTCTTGAGTAGCTAGGATTACAGGCATGAGCCACTGGTGCCCTGCTCTGACCTTTTTAAGAGTGATATTTTGGGGACTGGGAAGGTGGCTCAGTGGTAGAGCGCTTGCCTTGCATGCCTGAGGCCCTGGGTTCGATTCCTCAGCACCACATAAGCAAAAAGAAAAAAACCGGAAGTGGCACTGTGGCTCAAGTGGTAGAGCGCTAGCCTTGAGCTGAAGAGCTGAGGGACAGCGCCCAGGCCCAGAGTTCAGGCCCCATGACCGGACCCAAAAAAAAAAAAAAAAGGAATGATATTTTGGCACATGCTTATCATAATCCTAGCACTCTAGAAGCTTTGGCAGGAAGATCAAGTATTCAAGGCCAGTCTGGGCTAAACAGAGAGACTCTATGTCAAACAGAAACTGTCAACATGGCTGGCTACTAGATGTTTTTAAAATTATCATTTTTTTGTGATTTAAAAAAAATTCATACATGCCATGCTGATACTTTCCTAGGCAGTGGTTTACTTAGAAGTCTTAACTGTATCAATAGCTTATTTTTGGATCATTTCTTTTTTTTTTTTTTGGGTCCATGGGGCCTGAACTCTGGGCCTGGGCGCTGTCCCTCAGCTCTTCAGCTCAAGGCTAGTGCTCTACCACTTGAGCCCCAGCGCCACTTCTGGCTTTTTAATTTTTGCTTATGTGGTGCTGAGGAATCGAACCCAGAGCCTCATGCATGCAAGGCAAGCGCTCTACCACTGAGCCACCTTCCCAGCCCATTTTTGGAACATTTCCTGTCTGTTGCTGTCCTAATTGCTTTATATATTTGTATGTGGTTCACTTATGTAAAGAATTCACAGGTTTCATGTTCCAAATACTGCTAAAAGAGAAATTACACAACTTGGTTTTCAGACCACACATTTCTTTCTCTTTTGCTAGTTCTGGGGCTTCATCTTAGAGCCACATGCCCCCATGCTCAGCTTTCTGGCTGGTGCTCTACTACTGGAGCCATGCCTCCAGTCTGTCTTTTTTCTGTTTAATTGTTGATGGTGTCTCAGAGACTTTTCTGCCCAGGTTGACTTTGAATCATAATCCTTCTGATAGCATTCTCCTGAGTAGCTATGATTACAGGTGTGAGGCACCAGTGCCTGACACCTAGCATCTCTTAATGTCTGAGCCTCTGCTTCTTTTCATGAATGAAGCAGAATTATCTGTGGGACCCTGGCAAAGGCGGGTTCCTTCTATTAAAAATGAGTTTTAAGTCAGATGCTACGGAATTGCTTATAATGGCACAAATACATAGCCAATTGATCTCTCTTTTATAACTGTGGAAAATGGTTTAGAGAAAGAGAAGTGCTTTTTATAAAAGTTCATCTCTGCATCGATCCTTGCTAGATTTGGTGATCTTCTCATAGTCATCCTGCTTTTTTTTTTAATACTATAATTTCTCTTCAAAGTTCCTCTGGGAGCTGGGCACTAGTAGGCTGAGATCTGAGAACTGAGGTTTGAAGCCAGCCCTGGCAGACAAATCCAAAACACTCTTACCTCCAATTACCCAGTAAAAACCCAGAGATCGGGATGGGCCTCAAGTGATAGACTGACAGCCTTGAGTCATAAAAAAGCCAAGTGAGAGTGTGAGGCCCACAGTTCTGGGAAATTTTTCCTCTTTCTAACCCTTTCTCTTGAATAAAGCTAACTTTTTCTCTTTAGTCGACTTGGCTTCTAAATCTCCTTTTGGGATAATTCTCGTGTGAGGCACATGCCCAAGCAGAAAATCAGACCCTATCACAAAATATATCCTAGCAAGTGTGAGTTTAAACCTCAATAGCCCTCAAAAGAAGAGTTCCCTAGCTAGTGCTTAGACATTTGGTAACCTTTTTGCAATAGAACACAATATCCCTACCTAGAGAATGGGCATCTGCCCCTGATCCTGATCTCTCCCTTTCCCTTACTGGGTGAACAGACCTGCTGTTGTGGCCCTGTTCCCTCACCCATGTCAAGACATAAATGTAGATACCTTTTTCCTACTATGTTGCCATAATCCATAGAAAGATTCTCAGCACTCAAGCCTCTGGCTGCCATGCTTTTCCTCTTCCTTTTGTGGATCTCCAGATTTAGACTGAGAAGTTATCCACCCCAGGTTTATCTTCAATTGTTTTCAGTTCTCCAGGGAAATGTTTTTAGGTAATGGTTTGAGTGTCCTGGATCAGGCAGATTGGGGATTGAGTCCTTGTTAATACTGGCCATATTGGCTAAAGAGGTTCCTTCCACACATCAGTTTTCACATCCATAAAATAGAAGTGGTTGTAAGTTTTTAGAAGATTGTGTGAGAGTGAGAGATAGTATATTCAAATCACTCAGAAGAGTGTCTGGCTCCCATTAAGCCCTCAGCAGCGATTTGACTCATGCCTGTAATCCTGGCTACTCAGGAGACTGAGATCTAAGGATCATGCAACATAAGATGAATAATTCTAGTTTCATAGAGCTGTTGAAAGCATTCATTAATACATGCAAAACACTTATGCTTTATAGATTCAGTAAATGTTTGTTGAAGATGAAATAATTTAGCCAAGACTTGAGTGTATCTAATAAAATGTAGGCATAAGAGATGGCAGGAAATGATATATAAATCTTGAACTGGGATGTATAGAAAGGTAGTTTGGCCATTTTTTAACATGGCTTTTTATCCTTTAGGAACTACATTTGTTGTTAGGAATTTTATATTCCTCTTAAAGTTTTATTCAGCATCCTTCTTGTCTGTCTCCTCAACACACAGGTGCTCCCATTATCATGTCTTTTCCACACTTCTACCAAGCAGAGGAGAAGTTCACTTCGGCCATACATGGCATGAATCCAAATAAGGAAGACCATGAGACATTTGTGGACATTAACCCTGTGAGTGCACCTTCCTCCTGGGGAGAGAGCAGAGGGTTTCACTCTGAGCATTTTTTTTTTTTTTTGTCAGTTGTGGGGCTTGAACTCTGGGCTCGGGTACTGTCCCTGTGCTCTTCAGCTGAGCATTCTTAAGAAACATGCAATCTTGCTGTGTGCTGGTGGCTTAGGTCTGTAATCCTAGCTATTCAGGAGGCTGAGATCTGAGGATCATCACAGTTTCAAGCCAGCCTGGGAGAGGAAAGTTCATGAGATTCCTATTTCTAATTAACCACCAAAAAACCAAAGTAGCTCAAAGTGAGACATCATTAGCCTTGAGCAGAAAAAGCTCAGGGACAGTTCCTAGGCCCTGAGTTCAAGCCCCACAACTGATGAAAGAAAGAAAGAAAGAAAGAAAGAAAGAAAGAAAGAAAGAAAGAAAGAAAGAAAGAAAGAAAGAAAGAAAGAAAGAAAGAAAGAAAGAAAGAAGGAAAGAGAAAGAAAGAGAGAGGGGGGGAGGGAGGGAGAGAGGGAGGGAGGGAGGAAGGAAGGAAGGAAGGAAGGAAGGAAGGAAGGAAGGAAGGAAGGAAGGAAGGAAGGGAAAGGAAGGGAGGGAGGGAGGGAGGGAGGGAGGGAGGGAGGGAGGGAGGAAGGGAGGAATTATTCTTTACCCTGATGCATTCAAGTGGAGAAAAATGAGTCCAGTGTTCCTTGAGATGTGGTCTCATAGCCAATAATTAGAAGGCCAGACTGCAGAAATATGCAGAAATATGAAGACACTTATTCCATCTATCTGGCTGGCTGGCTGGCTGGCTGGCTGGCTGGCTATCTGTCTGTCTGTCTGTCTGTCTATCTGTCTGTCTGTCTGTCTGCCTACCTACCTACCGACCTAACAACCTATTTATTTATCTACCTACCTACCTATCAACCTATTTGTTTATTTATTGTTAGTCCAGTCCTGGAGCTTGATCTCAGGACCTGATCTCTTACCTTTTTCACACAAGGCTGACACCATACCACTTGAGCCACAGCTCTACTTCCAGATTTTTGCTGGTAAATTTAACATAAGGGTCATATAGACTTTCTTGCCCAGGCTGGATTCAAACTGTGACCTTCAGAGCTCAGTCTCCTAAGTAGCTAGGGTTACAGGTGTGTGTACCAGCACCTCGTCTGAACAAACCTGCTTTGAGCTATACACTGGGTATATAGCTCAGTAGGAAAGCACTTGCTTAGCACGGAAAAGGCCCTGAGTTCCAGTTCTAACACTTAGGACTAAAAAATGTTCCTCTGCCTACTTGTTGCCAGTAGTCCACATTTAAATATGCATATTCATTTCAGCCACTTTTGCAAACCTCTTTCTTACAAGTACTTTTGAGGGTTAATTATGCAATAAGATTACAAAGCACCAGATAGCCTATACTCATAGGCTCTCATTGTACAATGTAAGAATCTGTCACTGTGGAAGCTAAACAACGTCAGATAACTTTATTCTTGGCCCTTTGAATACTGTGGAGCAAATAAAAGTATTCTTTCAGCACTTTATGGACTATGCTCAACTTTATGGACTATGCTCATTGGGTCTGTGCCCAAGGAAACAGTGAATGACATCACTGAGACTGCCTTCCTTCACTCTCAGCCATTGGTCAGACAATTCCCTTTCATCACTCAAACTAGGAGTGGTGGCTGTGGCCCAGGGATCAGCATTTTCCCATACTTCAATGCAAAGATGAGGGCTACATGGGGAAGGCAGTTGCTATAGCCACTCCCTCTGGATGGACATCCTAGACTTGAACATCTTTCTCTGGTAGGGACCACCATCTTCCTCTGAGTTCTGGCTATCTGCCAGTGTATCCAGATCTACCTGGGGACCTGTGGGCTGGAGTCCTCTGGGGATTTCAATTCAAAGTGTCAGCCATCTGAGAGGCTAGTCAGAAATACCTACTTCCCAGACCCACTGAATTGAATCTACATTTGAGCAGATTTTCCAAGGATTCACATCGGCATTATAAAGCCTTGGTCTGTCTACACAGTACTTGCTATATTCTGGGATTGATTTTCCATGGTCCCAATCTGTCCTGCTAGCCCTACTCATGGCCACCCTGATCCACAGAATACACAGAAGTGATGCTCTATTAAAAAACTTATATTTGTGGTTTAACAAATCCTGATATTTTCTCTTCCCTTCTGATTTGCAGTTGACTGGAATTATTCTCAAGGCTGCCAAGAAGCTCCAAATCAACATTTATGTCAAAAAAATTGATGACTTTATGTAAGTTTGGCTTGTTTGGCATGAGTCTTGCCCCATTGACTTTTTGGTAGGGTCGCTGTGTGTGAGGGGAGACAGTTCATTTCTTCCCACTGCTCACCTCCACTCTCAGGTGTACAAGATCAGCATGGCCAAGGAATTGGCTCTTGGAATTTACTTCATCAGACACTTGCTATGGTGCTGTTATGGATGAGGCATTGTTCTAAGCATTTTTGAAGCACACAGTTGTATTGTCCACATGTACAGATGAGGAAACTGAGGCATAGAGGGTTTAAGTAATTTGTTGGAAATCATATAGCTGGGAAGAATTGTAGGGTACAGGGGCTACTTTTTAACCCATGCCCTGGAGATGATCTCTTACCCATCTTGACCCCAGTTTCCATCCCCTTCTCTCTCCATTCCCTTTTCCCCTACCTGGGGGCCAGCCCTAGCTCTTTTCTGGATGTTTAGTAGAGTCTCTTGAATCCAGCTTTCCCTCCAACAGACCAGCTACAAGCCACTTCTTCATTAGAATTCCTAAGTATAACCAACCTTCTGTCCTAACTTTTCAGTGGGAATTTTGTGGAAGAAAGAAAATACTTACAGTATTGAATGAAAAATCAGAATGTAAAAATACATATACACTGGGCTTGCTTGCTGATACACTGTAGGGTAACTTCCAATTGATGTGTTTACAAAGATAACTCAGAAGACTAGAGTCAATTTTAGATAATTGAATGGAATAAGTGTACTGCTATTTACATATAAATGTCTTTCCAAGCGAGCCTGCCATGTCAGGGATCTATAAAATAACATCATTCTCTGTCTTCATAGTGAAACTGGAGACATTAGAACCATGGTTTTCCCAGTGATGTATATCAGTGAGGTAAGTCCTGAGAGGCAGGGGTTGGGAATATCTTGATTGACCAAGCTTAGAGGACTTCCGTTTGCTATCATAACTAAGTGTAATTGAAAGAAATGACAAAGTCATTTAAAAAATGACAAAGTGATTAAAAAAAAAGCCCATTGGCTATATCCAAAAAACTTCTCTTCAATGCTATATGAAATTGTTTGTGCTTAGGGGCACAAAGTTGGAGAAATGACAGAAATTAATTTCATTTCCAAGAACATTAGTTGGGGACTGGGCTTGGTGGTATGTGTTTGTAATCCCAGCTGCTTAAGAAGCAGGGATAGGAGGGTCTCTATTTGATGCCAGCACAGGCAAAATCACAAGACCCTATCTGAAAAAAAATAATCTAAAAGCAAAAGAACTGGGGGGTGTGGTTCAAGTGGTAGACATCCTGAGTTCAACTCCCAGACTCTGTAGAAACAGGAGAAATTGCCAGCACTTAGGCATCCAGTTAAGCTTTCTTTGTCTCCTTTGAAGCCCTGTCATCTTAAGACCCCTATAACTGATTTTTTTCTAAATCATATATAAGATTTATTGTAGTTTTATCTCCTTAATTTCCCCCATAGTTTTGATGGAGGGAAAATGAACTTTTTCCCTCTTTTAATAAATTCTCAATTGGTAGACTTCTATTATTAACAGCATGTTTTAACATTCTTATTTTGCTCTAAAAATACTTATGTTAGAAAATTTAGTATCATATAGCAAGAAAAGGAAATACTAAAATCGCTATGTATCAAGTCTAATCAACTTACTGTTTGTAATTTTATTTATTTTTACTTTTTTATTCTTTTGCTCATAGCAAGGCTTGGGCTCATGAGCCTGGAGTTCACTTGGATTGCTTGCTTATGACTGACATTCTACCAATTAACTATGCCTGCAACCTGGCTTATTACTACTCATTGTGGTAATAGAGGTTCATAACCTTTTCTGCTCTGGGAAAGCTTTGAACCTGGATCCTCTTTACAAGTGTGAAATTCCCAACCCCTGGCTCAGTTCAATAAAAACAAAGCCAGAATTGTTTCTCATGATTGTTATGGAGTTAAGCTCTTCCGATGCCTCATCCATGATGCGGAGTAATGAGTAGCTCTGCGCTCAAAATGAAAAGTATTATTCTAGTACATTCCTTGGCTAGGAATATACTTGGCTAATATATTCTAGTATATTTTCTTGGCTATTTTGGACAGCCCCATAACTGACTCAAACACTTGATTGAGGCATCTGGTCCTGATGATTCTACATAGAACCAAGAGAGATGATAAAGTACACATACATTTTGGGGGTGTTTCCCTCATTCATTTAATCAACCAGTATTAATCACAAACCTATTGGATACTATGCCCAGTGTGGACATAACTGAAATGTCTTATCTCCAAGCATCTCACAATCACTGGGAACAAAAGGTAAACAGACAGTTAAGGTACTGGGTGCAACCACAGAGGTGAAGGTTCTAGAAAGTGTGGTAGAAACTTTCATCAGCCTCAAAGTGGTCAGGGATTACTTCAGGAAGGAAGTAATCCTGAGTTAGATCTTGAAAGAATTGTCTTATACAAAAACCAATACTGCAGCATTTCTGAATACTCCCCTCCTCTTTTCTAACCTCTGTTAGAAAAGTAAATGGTCTGGACACCAGTGGTTCATGCCTGTAATACTAGCTACTTGGGAGGCTGAGATCTGAGGATCATGATTTGAAGCTAGCCTAGGTAGTAAAGTCCATGAGACTTATCTCTAAGCACCAAAATGCCAAAAGTGGGAAGTATGGTGCAAGTAGTAGAGCACCAGGCTTATACAGGAGGTAGGAGGAGGGTGGAAACCAAGAGTAGGAGGCCCTGAGTTCAAGATCCAGTACTGTAACAAAGACAAGGAGAAGGAAAGGGAAAAGGAGAGAGAAAAAAGAGAGAGAAAAGATACTCATACATAAATTCCCACTCTGGGTACTCTACTTTTTAAGTTGATTTCAAGTATAGCTGGATTACTGACAAGAAGATTTAACCAAATTGTGTTTGATGATATGAAAGATAGTAAAAAAAAACCCAAAAAACAAAAACAACCCAGAAACTAAAATTGTTGGGTCTTCATCTGTCCCACGAAAGACGGACGGGTCCAAGGAAAGGTAAGTGCAGCGCTCACCCCGTTCCCCAGCCTCCCTCAGTCCGGGAGACAATCAGACACAGCGGGGAGCCAAATCAAGCATGGAAGAAAACTCATTTATTAACAGAGAGCAGCCCTTTTTAAATCCAAAAGAGCGGGTAGCATGGCAGGGGAGGACAAGGAACCAATCACTGTCAAGGTCACACCCTATCATGCACCTAAGCTTCCAGGAACATAAGGCAAATTGGGCTCTGCCCACTCTACTCTCTCTCAGCGCCATCTTGGCTGGCCATGTGCTCTACAGTAAATCGGGCTCTGCCCACTCACCTCCCTCTCAGTGCCATCTTTGCTGCCCATGTACTCTGCAGATTCCCCCTTTTTTTTTGTTTTAATGGCAGGCCCACCTCCCAGTTAGTTATCCTTTTCCCTTCTCTGTAAAGATTGTTTTAACAGGATTACATTGATAAGGATAGCATTGGCTACGCAGGGGGTTCGAGGCAAGTGTGGGGGTCGAGATTCGCCAGACTAGGATAGGGAGGGCCCTTGTGCATGATCCAAGAGCCCGTCCCAGTTACCTCACATCCCCACCTAGCACAGTAATAAACATCAGCCCCACCACATAAAATAAAGAAAAAGATAACCCAAATGAGTAGTCATGAAGAGTATTCTATTTTCTTGACCTTTCAGAGTGTTCTCATTGATGAAGAGAATGCGAGGCAACTAAAGTCTATGATTAACACTGCTATGATTGTCACCAACATCCCCTACATTGTTATGGCACTGGGTGTGTTCTTTGGTTTGATCTTCACCTGGCTGGCGTGTAGAGGACAGGGATCCATGGATGAGGTGAGTCCTGGCTGAAGGAATTTTTCCCTTTACTGAATAGCATGACTGAGAAGGTCTTTAGCTGTGCTCATTGAAAGGCTATCACCCGAGGGCTTATGGTATGTTGTGGTGATTTCATGCTTCCATGACTGTTGGACCAAATGGTAAGCAAGGTGGCAGTGTCAAAGAAGGGTATTTCAAGGAAGGTAGGGAGACAGAATAATGCCTTCTGGTAGTTTGAGTTCTCTTGGTGAGGATGGAATCATGGGCATATCCTAATAGAGGTAGCTTTACAGCTTTGAAAACTACAACCTGAGTGAATAGGAAGAAAATGCAATATATAGCATGAAGAATAACATGTAACATTATAACATTATTATTTTTTTTTGGTCAGGTTGTGGGGCCTGAACTCTGGTCCTGGGCACTGTCCCTCAGCTCTTCAGCTCTAGGCTAGCGCTCTACCACTTGAGCCACAGCGCCACTTCCGGCTTTTTTCTTTTTGCTTATGTGGTGCTGAGGAATCGAACCCAGGGCCTCAGGCTTGCAAGGCAAGCACTCTACCACTGAGCCACCTTCCCAGTCCACATTATAACATTATATAGGTGGACAATACGTGCATGACACTAGCTTACATCACACTGACTTCCACATTCTAACAGTAATTCATTGCTAGTCACTGTAGCCTGAATTAGCCATGCGGCAAATTCTTTTGGACATTTCTATCTCTGGATCTTTCATTCTGAATCTGTGCTGTCTCTGATTTTCCTAAGTACAAATTAAACTTCTTAGAAATGTTCATTACTGTCTTAACCAGCCTGGGGGTTAGGCTGATGGCTGAGAACAAAATGCGGATACTGACCCAAAAAACTTTTTTTTTACTTCCTGACCTGCTGACATTACAGAATGACTAGTGCCACACAACAGAGTCTCACTGACCCACATCTCCCACAATAGAGGAAGAGGGCAGTCCTATCTGCAACCATCCAAGGCCAAAACCGCCCCTACTCATCCTACAAGAAGAGTTAATGATGCATAGTTTCCAGGACTTAATGACACATAGTCCAGTATTCCAGGAACATAGACCCTTCCATGTGCATAGACCTTAATGAAAGCTTGAGGTTTCAGGACCCTCAGTGTAGCCCTCTTTCTTGAGCTGGCCTGCTATCCCACCTGGAAAGTACTTTGGCTTTGCTTTCACATTGCTTCACATTAATAAATCTGCTCATGCTAAGTCTCCCCTATGCCTGTCTTTGATTGAATCCTTTTCCCATGAGATCAAGGCCTTCTGGCAGTGCCCCAGACCTGGCAGCACTACAAGGAGCTATCTTAATACATTAAACAAGCATTAATGGGCACCTCTGACACACTGCTCCCTGCTAGGTTTCCAACCAGGAGGGAGACAGATCGCATAGGATCTAATACACCTTTCAGTCCAGTGGCATCCAGTGGCGGTGGTCAGAGAAAACTCCCAAGCAGTTAAGCCTGAATCTTAAAGAGCAAGAAGATGCATGCTGCCAGGTACTGGTGCCTCATACCTATAATACTAGCTACTCAGGAGGCTGAGATCTGAGGATCAGTTGGAAGCTAGCTCTGGCAGCAATGTCTGTGAAAATTTTATCTCCAGTTAGGTAACAAAAACAAAACAAAACAACAACAACAACAAAAAACAAACTGGACATGTGACTCAAGTGGTAGAATACCAGCCTTGAGCAGGAAAAAACTAAGCAATAGCAGGAAGCCCTGAATTCAAGCTCCAGAGCAAACATACAGACATAACAAATAAACAAACAAATTAAAGATAAGAAGCAGGCCCAAAGGAGAGAGATGAGTGGGGTCAACTACCTTCCTGTCAGTCTCTCCTCCTTCTCATTTTCCCTCACCTCTTCCCCCTGCCCCAACTTTTCCTATCTGAAGATAAATTTCTACCATGAATACCTAACCTTCTCTGGATTTTCTTTCCATGTCTCAGGGAACCGCAGATGAAAGAGCACCCCTCATACGAACCTAACGGAAGAAACTTAAGCATCATCTAAGCATGATGTGGGCTCTCCTGATGTGGACCCTCCCAGGGAAATCCCAGCGTCCTCAGTCTGTTGGGAGGAGGGTGAAGATTCAGCAAATGACAAGAGCATCCTGAGCAGAGCCTAAAGAGCAGGCTGATAGGCTGGCTAGTGTGCTTCATAAAATCACCTGGTCTCCAAAATTATTTTCATGTGTCTAGCAAGTATTTAATAAATTCTTGTATAGTACCTTTGATGTTGGGTTCTGATAGCTGTAGAATTTTGTGACTACTATTGTAGATATGCCTTCACATCACTTGTTAAAGCTACATGGGATAACCTTATTTGGTATGCTTCTTTCACCTAACTTTGTGAGCAAAACACATGTGTATCTCTTTATGTTGTATTCTTCCATTTCAGTCCCTGAAAAGAAGTCAGAGTTCGGAATGCAGGGTAAAATGTAGCTTTATCCTGTACACTGCTGTAATGATACAATGTCCTCTTTTAAAGCATTATGTATTGCTTTTCAGGCTAATCTTCAGTCTAGAATTCATCCAGGAAAATTAACTAGGTCTTCTGAGTGCTTGTACAATGTGTAGGAATCAAGTGGGGAAGGTTCTGGGATGGGGGTGGGCACCAGTGAGTGGATAAGGATTAACTCCTATGGGTTTCTAAGTAGTGCTTTCATGAGCCAGGCGAGTGAATAAATGTTGTTGGTATTAATGCAGATCTTTTGTGAAGAGAAGAACTAAAATGTTAGTTATGACATCTCTAGACTATTAGCTGTTATTTTTAGTCAGAATTATCTTGCTATAGAAAACCTGCTTTGGGGAGAATGTAATGGATGACTGTTTTACAACCCCCCAGTCACCCTGGCCCAATATGATTCTGTACTGATTACCATATAATATGGGATTATTTGTAAACTTACTATAGGAAATCTATCTGTCAGTAGCCTGAGTTACACACAGACTCATCACTGCCTTGATTAGAGTGACATTTCTTTCTTGCTAACTTTGATATTATTTTGGTAAGTTCTTTCTTCAGAGTTGGTTCTCTCCAATGTTACGTGTTCATGATCACTCACTAAGTAGAGGGAATTGTGCCCTAAACTTTCTGTGACAATCATGGTGCCGAGAAGATTGCAGAGGGTTTAAAATATTGCACAGGACGTTCTTTAAGGATGAAAGTCCCTTGGGACCAGAAGCAGAGTCACTTCTCTTCAGGAGACTTCTTGGCTTCCAGTAAAACCAAAGGCAGACAACGAGCCACTGTTGGGTCACAAAGTTCAGTTCGCAGGTATATTTAAGGGCATTTTCCTTGATTCTCTAAGTTCATCATGTTTAATTGAGATGCTTGTACAGTTTATCTAGCAGAGTGCTTATAGAATTTTCCCAAGAACAGAATCATACTTTGGGTTTCATTTTTGTTGTTTTGTTATTTAAAATTGGAATTTAATGTAAACAAATGAAAAAAATCAGGGATTTCCCTTACATAGCTTCTTATCTATGTTTGGAGGTCATAAATGGCTTTAATTTCCCAATGTAATGCCCCAATTTTCCTATGTATATTATAACATATGTAATGTTTTCCCCTTCTTAAAGGGACAAGTCATTAAACTTTCAACTCTTCTATAAATCAAGATAGAACAGTTACATACCCTGATTCACCAAACTGTGCAAAAACTAAACTGAAAATATTTGGTCTTCAGTAATGCCAAATATCTAGAGTTTTTTTTTTTTTTTTTTGTCGGTCGTGGGGCTTGAACTCTGGGCCTAGGCGCTGTCCCTCAGCTCTTCAGCTCAAGGCGAGTGCTCTACCACTTGAGCTACAGTGCCTCTTCCGGTTTTCTGGTGGTTTATTGGAGATAGGAGTCTCATGGTCTCTCCTGCTCGGGCTGGCTTTGAACCGCAATCCTCAGATCTCAGCCTCCTGAGTAGCTTGGATTACAGGCGTGAGCCACCAGCGCCCGGCTGATCTAGAGTTTTTTTAAAAAGAATTTATCAATATTTAACTAGAGAATTGGCATGCCTTAGTCTGTATGCATCAACTTATCCACACTAATAAACTGATAAACTAATTCATACTCACTGATTCAATCCTATGTTCAGGAGATAATCATCTAGGGGTAGATTTTTAAATGCTGTAAAAAATATCGGTTAGTGATATACACATTTAGACTGATTCTCACCTGGCAAGGAGGCAAAAAACATATTAGGTCCCTATTCACATGATGATCCTTAACAGTGATGACTTAAAGTCACACGATATTTTCTTTTTGAAAATAAACTGTAGTCAAAATTATAGACCGCCTCAGAATGAAGTAATGTACTTCATTTATTTGGGGAAAACTCTCAAGAGTTTTGTAAAATTCTGACAGCATTGTTTCCATCACAGAATGGCAGGCAGGAAAATGGGAGTTGAGCACAGGACAGGACATGGGCCTTGCTACTTTTTATCTCCATGCTTTCCTACTGGACTTCATTTTCTCATGTTCTAGAAAGATCAAGTAGAACTAGCACTATATGACTAACCCCTATTTGGGTTTTTACTTAAGGGAGGCTAATTTTTAACTTAAATTGTTGAGATAATGAATTCTGAAAAAAAAAAAAAAAGAAAAAGAAAGAAAACAGTGACCCTTACAGTTAGCCCTTGGTGAATAGAGAAAATTGCTTGTGCCTGTCTTTCAGAATGCTTTAGCAGCTGGGATCGTTGGTTCATTTCATGTGATTCTTAATCTATTCTATTCCTAAACTTCATGCAATGAAATGTTTTACTAATAAAAAAAAAGTTTATATAAAATTGCACTGGGAAATCATGTCACTGGAAATGTGATTGTCTATAAATTTTTATTTGAAAATGCCCCTGACCCATAGGACCCTGAATTCTACCCCTCAGAACACCTCTGGTTTCTGATCGGCTCTGAAGGACAGTTTACAGGCAGCCTGGGAGTCACACTCCAAGCAGGTTCCATTCTCTGCTTTTCTACATCAGGACTTTCTCCCGAGCCTCACAAAGAGCAGAGGGAGAGTTAATAACACAAGGGAAACATCCAAACAACCCTCCTAAATCAAAGAGTACATCACACGTTACTGGATTAGGACTGTTCACTGCAGAAACTGTTTTCTATTAGCATTTCCTCATTCCTTGTCCAGTGCACCTCCATCCCTGCTTCCTCCCAGATCAACCACCCATACTAACATCCCTATGGCATGCGTGCCTCAGGAGCACCAAGATTCAGAGACATCCACCCAAAAGAGCTGTGGAGAATCAGAGATGTATTGGGTAGGTTCTGGGACTTTTGTTTGTAGGGACATTTGGACTGAAGTGATCACTTTGTTGGGGTTTTTTTATTTTTTGTATGTGTGTGTGTGTCTGTGTGTGTGTGTGTGTGTGTGTGTGTGTGTGTGTGTGTGTGTGTGTACTGGGGCTTGAATTCAAGGACTTAGCTTTTTCACGCAAAGCTGATGCTCTACCATCTGAGTCACACCTCCACTTCTGGCTTTTTGCTAGTTAATTGGAGGTAAGAGTCTCATAGACTTTCCTGTCCAGATTGGCTTCAAACCTCAATCCTCAGATCTCTGCCTCCCGAATAGGATTATAGCCATGAGCTATCAGAGTCCTGCTTAAAGTTACAAGTTTTTTTGTTTTTTTTTTGGGTCCGGTCGTGGGGCCTGAACTCTGGGCCTGAGCGTTGTCCCTCAGCTTTCAGCTCAAGGCTAGCGCTCTACCACTGGAGCCACAGCACCACTTCCAGCTTTTTTCTTTTTGCTTATGTGGTGCTGAGGAATCGAACCCAGGGCCTCATGCATGCAAGGCAAGCGCTCTACCACTGAGCCACCTCCCCAGCCCAAAGTTACAAGTTTTTAATTCAGATGTTCATTAAAACCTTTCCTGTTCCCCAAATTGCATCTTACTCCTGAAGTCTGAGTAGATATGGAGCAATCATAAAGTACCTAGTCCTGTGTTACAAACATTCTTTTGGTATCAAGGTTATTTGGTGTTGAGCATATATCCTTCTTAGGAATCCCAAGTCCAGTTTCTGCTAGCTCATGCCACAGAAAAGCTCCTCGTACCAATCTCTTGTCCAAAGATATGCAGCGATACATAGATGTTTGTAGTACACCAAGCCTGTGTATTTTATTTTATTTTATTTATTTTATTTATTTTTTGGGGGTCCGGTCGTGGGGACTGAACTCTGGGCCTGGGCGCTGTCCCTCAGCTCTTCAGCTCAAGGCTAGCGCTCTGCCACTTGAGCCATAGCGCCACTTCCGGCTTTTTTCTTTTTGCTTATGTGGGGCTGAGGAATCGAACCCAGGGCCTCAGGCATGCAAGGCAAGCGCTCTACCACCTTCCCAACCCCAGCCTGTGTATTTTAAATCAAAGATTAGAAAATAAAATTTAATTTCTTTAAAATATTTAAATAACCTTTATTAAGGCAGAACTTATGTAACATTAATCCTTTGAGTGCCAGGAGTGGTGATATAATTCCATCACTCATAAAGCTTAGTCAGGAGATTTTGAGTTTGAAGCCAGCCTCCCTTACTGATAGGAAGCTGGATGGGGTGGCTTATGCCTGTAATCCTAGTTACTCAGAAAGGCTGAGATCTGAGAATCAAGGTTTGAAGCCAGCCTAGGCAAGAAAGCTTTGAGACTCTTATCTCCAATAAACTAACCCCCCCCCACACACTGAAAAAAAAAAAAAAGCCAGAAGTAGAGCTGTGGCTCAAGTGGTAGAGTGCTAAATTTGAGCAAAAAAAAAAAAATCTCAGGGCCCTGAATTTAAGCCCAGGATTGGCACAAACTTACATTGTGATTTTAGTAAATTTACTACGTTGTACATTTCTAGGACATTTTCATCACCTCAGTAAAATTTTCATGCCAGTTTATAGTCCCTCCTGGTGCCCATTCCCAACTCCTGGCAATTATGGATCTACTTTCTGTATGTATAGATTATCTTTCCAGACATTTCACATAAATACAGCATGTGGTACTAAAGTCTGTCTTTTCTAAATTTTACCTAAAAATGTGCCCAACTAATTTTATTGAACATCTACTTTATACCAAGCACTATACATCTAAACTAGGCTGTGAGTGAGTAAAAATTGATGTTGGCACTTTACCATCTAGTGAGGGAAAAGAGTGACCAAATAATCATTCAGGTAAATGTCAAACTCCAGCAACGTTTCGTAATGCTCTGGGGAAACAATTAAGACAGAGTTAGATAAAGCAAACATTTCAGATAGATGGAATAGGAAATACTCAAGAGCAGGAAAGGATGTGTTTACAACTGACTGAGATGTTTAGCTGGAGTTTGAGAGAAGAATGATGGGAGATGAGGCTGAAAAGGAGAAGCCACATCATTTTGGGTCTCAATAAACCATATTAAAGATTTGGGTATATTTTTGGCTTATGACCAATGGGAAACTAGTAAAGATTTTTAACTGGGTTGTTGAAGGAAGGTGTGGGAGACAATAGGCTTAGAAAAACCCATTCTAGCTGCAAGGAAGAGCTGACATAAATCCAGAGATCAATTAGGAGGTTGTTACTGTAAGTCACCCTTGGTGTTTCTACTGACATGCAATATGATTCTCCTCTGAATCAGCTGATATCCATCATCCATTTGGGGATTTCCACAAAGTCACATACCATGAATGACGGAATGGGCTTTGTGGGAGAAAATAAAAATGTACAGAGCCAGCCAGGTGAGTGTGGCTCTTGCCTGTATTCCTAACTACTCAGGGAGGCTAAGATCTGAGGATCAGTGTTTAACTCTAGTCTGTGCAGAAAAGTCAGTGAGACTGTTATCTCCAACTCATCAATAAAAAAGTCAGGCATGGAGGAATGGCTCAAGTAAAAGAGCACCAGCCTTGTATGAAAAAGTTAAACAAACTTGAGGCCCTGAGTTCAACTCCCAGTACTGTCACAAAGAAAAAATGTGCTAAGCCCAGACAACCAGGAGAAGAAAGGTTTAGACACTCCAGCGTCCAGCTATCCCAGGGCCAAAGCACTGTTTGGGTTCAGTAAGGACAGCATATCCTCTTTTCTTCCCTTCTTACAAGATGAACATGAAGAAGCAATTTTGCCAATGAAGACCTACACAAGCTGTTGGGACACAAGTAGTTTGGATTTTGAGTGCCAATGGTTTACCACGCCTGTGAAAGCCAGCTGCTCCTAGCATGTCACAGTTTCCACTACTGCGGGAGAAGGTCCCACAAGAACCTCAGTTTGAGTGCACCTCATTCCCTAGGAGAAGGGGGGCCCTAGCCCCAGTGAACTCATATTGCAGACAGCCTAGAATAGTTGGTCCAGACCATGTTCAGATGATCTGTGGCACACCAGGTCACAGGAGCTGCTGCAGAGCTCCAAGAAGAGGGAGGCAACTTTTATGTAAAACACCAGATTGAAAATAATTTTGACTTTGCACAGCCATCCTAGTAACTTCTGCTATTGTGAGCCTAAAATTCTGTTATTGTGAACTGTGAAAAATATGGAAACAAATGATGATGTGTCTGTTCAAACAAAGCCACATTTGACTAAAGCCAGCTTTGGCTGCACTTAGCCACCCTTATCTCAGGCTGCCATAAGGATGCTGCTCCTTTTTTCTTTCTTTCTTAAAACAGCAACTTCCTTTTCTTCAGTAGTCTCCTCTGCCCATGCCTAGGCTAACGTCAAACTGAGATCCTCAGATCTCAGCCTCCTGAGAGTCACCAGCACCTAGCAAGGATTTATTTCAGCACGATAGGGTTAAGTAGGGAGAAATGGAAAATGAGGAGAGTAAATTTCCCGTTCAGCACAAAGGAAATGGAAATAAAGGACTCTTTATTTGAATAATGCTACTTTTAGAATTTTAAAAACTTATGTGCTTGTGTGTATAACTTTATTACGCTACATATTGAGTTTAAAAAGGCGTTCGAATATATTTAAAATACATATTTGTTCCAAATATTACTGGAAAGACAACGTTTTAAAAAGCAAGTGTCGGCGAGGGTGAATCGGGTGGGCAGGAGGCAAGGGTGTAGGAAAACGTTTTGCTTTCATTTCCCTTATATTTTTTGAAAATGTAACAATGCTAATCACAGTTATGCAAAACAAACTGCGGGATCCCGGCTATTTTACATGTTAACAACACTAATCACTACAACGTTAATTACTGCAGGGCCTCCCAGAGCTCCTCGGCCGCCCGGTGAAGACTGAGGATGGGGAGGGGAGGGAGATCTCCTAGGAGCAGTTCCGGGCTTCCAGCTTGAACCAATGGATGATGGATGGCTCGGGATGCCAAGGCTTGGGGATGGAAGGAGAGGACCGGGAGCAGAACTGGAGGACTTCCTTTCTGTGCTCACTGCTTGAAGACAGGCTCCTTTCCGTGCATGGCCCAAGCCACCTCCCGCCTAAACCTACAGTCACAACTTTTTGAGGACCCTCGCTGCGGCTTTCCCTCCAGGATCGCAGGCGGCGCCCCGCAGCCTGCACTCCGCCCCGGGCCCGCGTGGTGACACGCGAGCCGGCGAAGCCACGAGCATCCCGGAAGTGACCATCGGGGGGGGCGTTCCCGTTCGAGCTCCACCTACTTTGCCCCTGATTGGCTGTCGTCTCCTACACTACACCTGGGAGGCGGAACTCTATGACGCGGCCTGCCGTTTCCCGGCCGGACGGAAGACCGGCGTACGCCGAGCGTCGCGTCGCGGGAGCAGCAGCATCAGCGGCCGAGCACCGAGGCGCTGTTCCCGCGACATGGCCTTCAATTTTGGGACTCCCTCGGGCACCTCCGGCACCGCTGCCGCCACTGCGGCACCCGCGGGTGAGTTCCCCCGGGCCTTCTGTCGGGAAGGAGGGCATGCGTTTGGCCTCCCCCTCGGGCGTGGGGACTCCCAGCCTCTCGACCGCGCGCGCGGAAACCCCGGCATTTGAAAAGGGCGGGCGGCGGTCGGCCGGGCCCCGAGGCCCCGAGGCCCCTCGTGGAGGTGTGGGGCGGCGCCCCGCGTGAGGCCGCTCAGGGCCCGGGACCCCCGCGGGCTGCGCTTCTGGCTGGGATCCCGACTCGCAGGGGTGCGAGGCTGCTCCCCTCTCCCCTCGCCCGGGGAGGAGCTAGGGCTGGGGAGCCCCGGCTGTCCCGCAGCAACGCGGGTTCCCGCCCTGGAGGGACGGGAGCCGGCGCCCGGGCCCCTCGTGGTCTTCGCCGGGGCCGGGGGTCGGGGGGGGGGCTCCCAGCGCCTCCTGTGCACCCCCACCTCGGCCCGCTCCCGTTTGGGGAGAATGCTGGTGTGCTGCATTCAGGTGACACCTCTTGTGGATTCTGCTAATCTTTATCTTGCTTTCTTTTCCTTTTCTTCTTTTCTCCCTTCCCTCCTCCCCCCCACCCCCCCCCCCCCCCCGCCCCGTTGTTTGTTTCTTTACCTGTATGCCTATCAGGATTTGGTGGGCTTGAGACTGCCAACTCCACCGCCAGTGGGTTTAATTTTGGGGGTTTCGGATTAACTGCTAATCCCGCAGTGAACTTTAATATTGGGAATTTCGGTGTTTCCACCACCTCGGCGACTCCGTTCAATTTTGGTAACAGTCTGGCAAGCGCAGGTACCTACTGTGGGCCGTTATGTGTGACCAGTTGTTGGGAGCTGGAGTCCAAGAATAATTCGTGGTTCCGAGAGTGTTGGGGAAAGAACGACGACTGAATAGGGGAGGAAATTTAATGTCAGATCAAAGACATCTGAATCATGTTTTGACTGTTAGAAAAATGGGATTTGGGGAAGGTTTGAGGGTTATAATGTTGCCCTGTTAAAATTTGCATTTAATCAAACAGCATACATCTTTCAGGTGATAAGGATTTGGAAGAAATTTTTATTTAGAATGAGTGTGTCCTTCAAATTATTAGATACATCTTCCAAAGTATAAGCTAACCAGTCAGGATCATTTTCCAGAGATTCTTGGACTCCCGCAGTCATTTTTCATTTTTTTCTGCGTTTTTCATTGGAATTTCATTTTATTGTCCTTGTGTTTCCAAGAGAAACAAGTCTTATACGAACAGCAGTAAACTGTCTTGTTTTCTAAATACACCTGTATAATTGTGTTTTTTTTTTTTTGTTAACTCAGTAGAATTACTATAAATACACTGTTATAGAGAATATCTCCAGTTCTTCACACTGGATTTTTTTTTTTTTTTTTTTTTTAGAAATTCTCAGCAGTTTACTCTGCTAGATGACACTGAGTTCTGAGAGGTAGGCTAGACCTCTTTATGTTTGTTCAAAAATGTATTTTGGGCTGGATGCATAGCTCAGCAGTAGAGTGCCTGCCTAGCAAGTGAGAGGCCTGAGTTCAAATCCTAGTAACAAAACAAAATGAAGATATTTCCAATCTATGTGGTTTGAAGCTCATTAGAAGTTTGCAGAATACAAACTATAATGGATATACAAATTTAAAATAGATTTATGTGTACTTTACAATTACTGCATAGGTAAAACTTTCATCAGCTGCTCGTATATGAATTTATCCTCCATATTCTCTTACATTATGCCACTTATGCCCATGCCAATTATATGCACCTAGTAGACATTTCTTTCTGTAGGCTTATTTGGGATGTCAGGCATTTTGTTTATTCCCTTGTTGCCACAATGTGAATATCACCTTAGCATCTACGTTGAAATTTGAACATTTTAAAGATGAAATTACTCATTAAGATATATTTGAAGTGGGGCTGGGAAGGTGGCTCAGTGGTAGAGTGCTTGCCTTGCATGCCTGAGGCCCTGAGTTTGATTCCTCAGCACCACATAAGCAAAAAGAAAAAAGCCAGAAATGGCACTGTGGCTCAAGTGGTAGAGCGCTTAGCTAGCCTTGAGCTGAAGAGCTGAGGGACAGGGCCCAGGCCCAGAGTTCAGGCCCACAACCGACCAAAAAAAAAAAAAAAAAAGATATATTTGAAGTGGTCACCTATGTTAGTTGTATGTTTACCTTTCATTGTTTGCTTAAAATTGGCACTGGGTAAAACTTTTTTTGAATTTTGTGTTTCCAAATAAAGCCACCCACATCACAATTGAAATATAAATAAACCTGTTGATATTTGCTTGATTTCATGTTGGGAGTATCACTGTAAGTTTTGAATTCAAATAATATGACTATTTGATTACTTTCATATGATTATATCCTTTATCAAAGGTCTGCTAGAAATTCCAGGTTACTTTTTGTTTTTTATCTGTGCAGAATCACTATTAGGAATAAAATATTTTTGGTATTTCAGAACATGATAAGATACTCATATTTTAGCATGTAGTCAGTTCAGAATATGTTGTAGAAATGGAAGGTCTAATGTTTAATACTTGAGGTGCTTTTATCAGAATATTCTTATTTTGCAGTACTATAATAGAACCTGTAAGAAAGTAGACTATTGGGTTGTGCCTGCATATGTAACATTCAGACTACTCTCATTTTCTAAGTCAGAATTGTTATTAATATCAAGTGATTTTTTTTTTACCTTGTATCTTTTGTATTGCAATAGTGATGAATGTAACTTGTTAAAAGAAATAGATAAGGTTAAAAATTAGAATCTTGACAGCACTCAGACCCTGAGTTAAAAGTCCTAGTACTGATACCACTTCCCAAAAAAGTTAGCTAATATCCTGGCACCAGTGGCTCACTTCTATAATCCTCGCCAATCTGAGGATTGAGGTTCAAAGTCAGCCTAGACAGGGAAGTGGTAGAGTGCCAGCCTTAAACAAAAAAGTAAAGGGACAGTACCTAAGCCCTCAGTTGAAGCCCCAGTACTGGTACCAAGGGGTGGGGGGACACCTGAGGTATCATCGACATTAATGGTATTAATGGTAAGCATTTACCTTGAAAGTCTTTGACACCACATTGATAATCAACAACAGACTGGCACTAACTGAAAAAAAAATTTAGATCGGATGGCATGCCATTCCATTCATTTGCTGTGAAATATAGTTAAATTTGTTTCTAGACTTACTAGAAGTGAAATTTGTCTGAATTATCACAGTGGTACAGAGACCTGTCCATTCCCCACTACTGCCTCCACTTGTGGAGTTTCCCCATCTCTTCATTTAAGAAACACATTGTTATTGTATAAAGCTGAGTATAATGATACATTCCTTTTGAAAAGTTGTTTTGACTACCATGCCAAATGTTGTATTGGATACTTTTTTAAAATTGAGTTAGGCTTTGAAATTTGAGCTGGGGATGTAACACAAAGTAGACTGCATAGCATGTGTGCAAGACCCTGGGTTGGAGCCCTGGCATTGCACAAAAAAAAATCGAAAACATAAATTTCACATAGAAAAATCAAGATTTCCTGTTTCTCTTAGGGGGAAATGGGTGCATAGAACACTGCTCAACTTCTGTTCTGCAACAATATACTAAAATTTTAGGGATGGTGCCATTAAAAATTTTTTAATTAACATAAGTTAATTATACAAGGATATTTCATTGTATTTGTATTTATTACTTGTATGTGAAGTACTTTGATGAAATTCACCCTGTCTTGCTGCCATTTTCGAAATTTCACTTGAAACAGTCTGTCAGTAAATGTCTAGTCTGCTTTACTCATTTATTAGTCTGAATCTTGTAGGTATTCAATTATGTAATCACTATTCTAAAAGTATATCACTTTATATCAGGAGGCTTAATACTGATCAAATTCACCCTGTCTTGCTGCCATTTTCGAAATTTCACTTGAAACAGTTCTATCAGTAATCTATCTCATTTATTAGTCTGAATCTTGTAGGTATTCAATTATATAATTGCTACTCTAAAGGTATATCACTTTGGAGTTATATCAGGAGGCTTAATACATTTTCTTAGCTAAGTGTTAATTAGTGCATGCATGTATTGCATTGTGATATTCTACTTAAACTACTTAAGTTGCATATCTCTAGCAATACATTAACTTCTTGATTAGCAGTATAATTTTTTTAATTGATGTTAAAAGAAGGGAAAAGAAAACTTAGACCAAGATTTTTTTTATGTTTAGTGATTACTTATAGAATAAACGGAAAGAAATGACCATTATGTATACAAAATAATCCTTTTTAAAATTCTCTTTAATTAGGAGGGTTTGGAGGATTTGGGACGACATCAACAAGTGCAGGTTCTGCATTCAGCTTTTCTGCCCCAGCAAACACAGGCACTACTGGTAAGAAGCTATCCTAAGTCATTTGTAGAAAGAAATGCAGTAAAAATCAATTGTTTTTTAACTTATGCAAGTCTGGTTTTTCATTCAAAGGACTCTTCAGTGGCACTCAGAACAAAGGTTTTGGATTTGGTACTGGTTTTGGCACAGCAACAGGAACTAGTACTGGTTTAGGTACTGGTTTGGGAACTGGCCTGGGATTTGGAGGATTCAATACACAGCAGCAACAGCAGCAAACTAGTGAGTATGAGGTTTTCGTCTTTGAATATAAAACCACAATAGTCAACATCAGCTTGAAATAACTTTAGCAGATTAGCCTTTTTTTGGGGGGGGGGGCGCTGTCCCTTAGCTCTTCAGTACTCTTACCACTTGAGCCACAGCACAACTTCTGTTTTTTTCTGTCTATATGGTGCTGAGAAATTGAACCTAGGGCCTCATGTATGTGAGGCAAGCACTCATCACTGAGCCACCTTCCCAGCCCCAGATTAGCCTTTTTTTGTTGATTGCAGGACTTGAACTTGGGACCTGAGTGCTGTCCATGAACTCCTATGTTCATGGCTAGTGCTCTACCACTTTGAGCCACAGGTCCACTTCTGGTTTTTGAGGGTTAATTGAAGGTAAAGTCTCACAGGGACTTTTCTACCCAGGCTGGCTTCCAACCATGATCCTCAGATCTCAGCCTCCTAAGAAGCTAGGATTACAGGCATGAGCCACTGACAACCAACTAGCCCTCCCCCCCTTTTTTTGTGCCAGTCCTGGGGCTTGAACTTAGGGCCTGGGCACTGTCCCTGAGCTTCATTTTTGCTCAAGGCCAGCAGAGCCACAGTGCCACTTCTGGCTTGTTCTGTTTATGTGGTACTGAGGAACCAAACCCAGGGCTTCATGCATACTAGGCAAGCACTCTACCAACTAAGCCACCTTCCCAACCCTACAATCACTTTTTTCCTCTGATTTCTCTTGACTATTCCCATTAACATGCTTTAATAATAAGGCAAACACAAACTTCCAGTCACCTTTTCTTTCCTTTTTCTGTGGCCACTATAGTGAGGCTTTCAACTCATGGCCTGATGACTATCCCTTAGCTTTTTCTACTTAAGGTTGGTGTTCTACCACTTGTGCCGTACCTCAACTTATGGTTTCATTTTGTGTGTGTGTGTGTGTAGACAAGAGACTCACAGACCTTTCTGACTGGGCTGGCTTTTGAACCAAGATCCTCAGATCTAAGACTTCTAAGTAGCTAGAATTGGAGGTATGAGTCATTAGTACCCTGCTTTCCTTTTATCATTGTCATTCAAGTGTGTAAACTATAATGTTCAGTTTTACCTTTCTTAAATCTGTAGGGTCCCTATTTATCTTTTTTATTTTTAAAATTGCTCAAATAATTATCTGTCTTCCAGAGTTTTTCAGACTGCAAAACATTACATTTTTGTAAGATAGTTTAACCTATGTCTTTTTCTTCTGTATTTCTTAATAGTTAAGTTGGATTTGGAAATGTATTTATATATTTTTTTTTAAGACTGTATCAGATAGTGTATTTTTTATTGAGAAGCATTGGACTGTTTTTGTAGTGATGTTAGCAGCCGTTACTTAGATCCATTCATTCGGGGTTAAAAAAATGGTGATCTTTACCTTGATTTTTGAAACACCTCTATCAAGAAAAGCACATCCTTTATTTTGTTGATTTTTTTTTTTTTTCCTTTATCACTTGATGTTTATACTGTTCCAGTTTTAGCCAGTGCTGGTCTCTTATGTTAGCTCCCAAACCTCCTTTTAAGTGTATATGAAAGTACAAAATAATGAGCCAGCCGCCTGTGGCTCATGCCTGTAATCCTAGCTGCTCAGGAGGCTGAGCTCTGAGGATCCCAGTCAAAGCCAGCCCGGGCAGGAAAGTCCATAAGACCCATCTCCAATAAACCACTCAGAAAACTGGAAGTGGTGCTGTGGCTTAAGGGTAGAGTGCTAGCCTTGAGCTAAAGAGCTGAGGTACAGCGCCTAGGCCCAGAGTTCAAGCCCCACGACTGGGGGGAAAAAAAATGGGTATCAGTATGACATTTTTCTTTTTCTTTTCTTGTCCTCTTAGGGCTTGAACTCTTGGCCTGGGTGCTGTCCCTGAGCTCTTCAGCTCAAGGCAAGCACTCTACCACTTGAGCCACAGCACCACTTCTGGTTTTCTGGTGGTTAATTGGAGATAAGAATCTCATGGGCTTTCCTTCCTGGGCTGGCTTTGAACCACTATCCTCAGATCTCAGCCTCCTAAGTAGCTAGGAGTAGCTAGGATTACAGGCGTGAGCCACTGGCTCCTGACATCATTATGATATTTTTCTACATGTATATAATGTGTTGTATTTTGATCATTTGCAACCCCCAAATTACCTTTTTTTTGGGGGGGGGGGTCGTGGGGCCTGAACTCTGGGCTTGGGCGCTGTCCCTCAGCTCTTCAGCTCAAGGCTAGCGCTCTACCACTTGAGCCACAGCGGCACTTCCAGCTTTTTTCTTTTTGCTTATGTGGTGCTGAGGAATCAAACCCAGGGCCTCAAGTCCTGCAAGGCAAGTGCTCTACCACAGAGCCACCTTCCCAGCCCATAAATCTGTGAGACTCTTTTTTTTGGGGGGGTGGGGGGTCTGGTCGTGGGGCCTCAACTCTGGGTCTGGGTGCTGTCCCTCAGCTCTTCAGCTCAAGGCTAGCGCTCTACCACTTGAGCCACAGTGCCACCTCTGGCTTTTTTCTTTTTTCTTATGTGGCACTGAGGAATCGAACCCAGGGCCTCATGTATGCAAGGCAAGCACTCTACCACTGAGCCACCTTCCCAGCCCCCCAAATTACCTTTTCTTGTCCCCAAGTCTCACATCCCAAAGAGTCCTATACCTTCATGTCTCTCTCTCGTGTGTGTGTGTGTGTGTGTGTGTGTGCGTGTGTGTGCGTGTGTGCGTGCGTGTGTGCGTGTGTGTGCGCGCGCGCGCGTATATAGATTCTGCTTGTGAGAGATACTTGTCTTTTAGTCTGGCTTGTTATTTTGCTTACTTTGGTACCCTAGTGATCTCCAATTTTATTTTCCTGCAAATAACAGTTTTGTGTACTACATTGTGTATGTATAACACATTTTATTATTATTTTTGTTTCTATTTTAGATAGGGTCTTTTTATGTAGGTCAGCTGTTCCCAAGTCATATAATCCTCTTGCCTCTACCTTCCAAGTCCTGGAGTTACATGAGTCTTCCATCTTGTCCATCTATACTTTTATTTTTTTTTTGTAGGTTATGGGGCTTGAACTTTCACTTTTTTGAGAAACTTCTGTGGCTGGACTAATTTACCTGGCTACCACCTTTTCCCCATACCCTTGGCAGCATGGTTTTTGTTTTCTTTATTTTTGGAAGAATTCAGGACTGTGCATTTGCCTAGGCAAGAGCTCTACCACTTAAGTTCATGCCACTTTTGCTTTAGTTTTTCAGATAGGGTCTTGCACTTTTTTTTTTTTTTTCCTGTTGGAGCTGTTCTTAGACTATGATCTCTGGCTTATTCCCTGTAGCTGTGAAGTATGGCTCAAATGATGAGTGCCAGTCTTGAACAAAAAGCTAAGGGCCAGTGTCCAGGTCCAGAATGAGTTCAAGCCCAGTGCTGGCACAGGGAAGGAAGGAAGAAGGATGGACGAGGACAGGAGGAAGGTGGGGAGGAAGGAAGATAAGAGGGGAGAGAGAGCACACGAGCTGTATTGTCAAAGATACTTGACCTATGTTGTGAATCGCTCCCGCATTACCCTTTTTGCTCAGGATATCATTGTTTAAAATCATTTGTGAGGGTCTGGGAAGGTGGCTCAGTAGTAGAGTGCTTGCCTTGCATGCATGAGGCCCTGGGTTCGATTCCTCAGCACCACATAAGCAAAAAGAAAAAAGCTGGAAGAGGCGCTGTTGCTCAAGTGGTAGAGTGCTAGCCTTGAGCTGAAGAGCTGAGGGACAGCGCCCAGACCCAGAGTTCAGGCCCCACGACTGGTCAAAAAAAAAAAAAAAAAATCATTTGTGGTTCAGTATAAATTTTAGAATTTTTTTCCTGTGGAATTTTGTTGGAGATTGCATTGTATCTGTAGATTTTCAGAGTTTTGGTTTTTTTTTTTTTTTTTTTTTTTGAGGAAGTGTTTTTTTATTTTTTTATTATTGTAAAGGTGATATACAGAGGAGTAACAGTTGCCTAAGTCTGGTATAGAGAACATTTCTCTTTGAACAATATCATCCCTTCCCCCATTCTCCCCCAGTTTTTCCCTCCTGTCCCCAACCACAAGTTGTGTAGTTTCATTTTCAACATAATGTTTAGTGAGTACCACTGTTGAATTTCACCCTTTGTCTTGCTTTCAGTTTTACAGCCAGTGTATAAACTTGAGAGGTCAGTTTCTTTTTTCAGTGTTTATAGTGTTCATTTTAAGTCTTTCACCTTCTGTTTTGTTTTACTTCGCTTTGTGGCTATTTCGCATGTTTGTTCTTGATTTCTTTCTCAGACTGTTCCTTATTGGCATATAGAAAAGCTACTGGTTTTTCTATGTTGATTTATATTGTTACTTTGCTGACAATGTTTATCAAATCTAAAGAGTTTCCGGTAGGTGGCTTTAAGGTCTTAGGATCATTTACTGCAAATCGCTATAATTTAACTTCTTTCCTGTTTGTATTTCTTTTCTTTCTTCGTCTTATTACTCTGGCTAAGATTTTAAGCACTATATTGAATAAGACTGGAGATAGTGGACACCCTTGTCACATTACTGCTTTTATGTTAATGCTTTCAGCTTTTCCCTATTCAGTATAATGATGGCTAGAGATTTGTCAAAATACAGCTGTGATGTTGAGGTCTGGTCTTCTAGTTTTATCAGAGCTTTTTTCATGAAGGATGCTGAATTTTTGTACTTTGTTGAGACGATAATATATTTGTCCTATTTATATGCAGTATTACATTTATTGATTTGTGGTTTGTTTTGTTTTGGCATGGTCTTTACACTTTACACAGTCTTTATACTTGCTAAACAGGTACTCTGTCCATCAAGCCTCACTTCCACATTGATTTGTATTTGTCAAACCATCCTTGCATTCCTTGAATGAAACTTAGTCACCTTTTTGATGTGTTGTTTTGGTTTCCAAATATTTTATTGAGAATCTTGGATCTATCTCTTCATGTAGGAAGGTGGTCTGTAGCTTTTTTTTTTTTTTTGCATACTCAAGTGAGTATGGTTTTTTACAATAAATCTGGAAATTTTCCTTTTCTGCTTTATGCAGTAGTTTTAGGAGCACTGGTGTTAATTTTTCTTCAAAGGTCTAATAGAATTTAATAGTGAAACTGTCTGTCCTGAGCTTTTCCTTTGTTGGGAGACTTTCTATTGCTGACTCAGTCTTGCTTGTAATTGATGTGTTTGGGTTGTTTATATCCTCTTACCTCAGTTTTGGTAGGTACTGTGTCTAGAAATTTTTCCCTTTTTTGTAGATTTTCTAATTTGTTGGAATATACATTCTCAAAATATTCCCCGAGCCTCTGGATTTCATTGTTACCTGATGTAATATCCCCTTATAGTCATCTCTTCATTAATTTAGGTTTTTTCTTTGTTGGTTAGTTTGTCCAAGGATTTGTTAGTTTTGTCTTTTTAACAAGAGAATCAACTGTTTATTAATACTTGTTTTTTTAGTCACCCTCCATTTCATTTATTTTTCACCCTGATCTTTATTATTTCTTTTTTTGGGGCGGCGGTCCGATTGTGGGGCCTGGGCGCTGCCCCTCAGCTCTTCAGCTCAAGGCTAACGCTCTGCCACTTGAGCCACAGCACCACTTTCGGCTTTTTTCTTTTTGCTTATGTGGTGCTGAGGAATCGAACCCAGGGCCTCATGCATGCAAGGCAAGTGCTCTACCACTGAGCTACCTTCCCAGCCCTCTTTATTCTTTCTTTCTACTAATTTTATTATTTATTTTTTGAGTCCGGTCGTGGGGCCTGAACTCTGGGCCTGGGCACTGTCCCTCAGCTCTTCAGCTCAAGGCTAGCGCTCTACCGCTTGAGACACAGAGCCACTTCCGGCTTTTTTCTTTTTGTTTATGTGGTGCTGAGGAATCAAACCCAGGGCCTCAGGCATGCAAGGCATGTGCTCTACCACTGAGCCACCTTCCCAGCCCTCTTTCTACTAATTTTAGAATTTGCTTTTTCCTTTTTTTTCGGAACAAGATGTTGATCAGTAAGTTATTTATTTGTAATTTCTGAATTTTTAAGTATAGACACTCGTAAACAGGGTCTTGCTTTATAACTCAGACTGGCTGAACTCTTGATCCTCCTACCTCAGCTTCCTGAGTGCCAGGATTACAAGTACTCACCCCTACACTCATCCTCTTAACCTTTTTTTTTTTTTGGTGCCAATATTAAGGCTTGAACTCATAAACTTAGCAGTGTCCCTTAGCCTTTTCTGCTCAAGGCTGGAACTCTACCATATGAGCCAAAGCCCCATTTCCAGTTGTATAGTGGTTAATTTGGATATGAGTCTTAACAGGATTCTGCCCCAGCTAGCTTTGAACTGTGATCCTCAGATTACAGCCTCTTGAATAGCTGGGATTACAAGTGTGAGCGACCAGTCTCTCCTAGCATTTCTTTCCTCCATGCTATGTGTGTGTGTGTGTATGCACATGTGTGTACACATACATGCACAGGGGATTGGACCCAGTGCCTTGTACATGCTGGGCAAGTGCTCAACCACCTCTATCTTCAAATCTCATTTTGATGAGCTCCATCTCCACTTATCATGCCTGTTGTGTTGATCCAGGAAAATCTTCTGTTGCAACATGCTTAACTCAATCACATTTGAGAATTCCTTTTCTGCCATGTAAGATAACATACAGGTTCTGTAGATTAGGATATGGACCTTATTTGTGTGTGGGGAAGTATATTTTGCCAACCACACCAAGATATGAATGAAGTAATTTTTCTCATTTTAGCATTAGGTGGTCTCTTCAGTCAGCCTACACAAGCTCCTACCCAGTCCAACCAACTGATAAATACTGCAAGTGCTCTTTCTGCTCCAACATTATTGGGAGATGAGAGAGATGCTATTTTGGCAAAATGGAATCAACTGCAAGCCTTTTGGGGAACAGGAAAAGGATATTTCAACAATAATATTCCTCCAGTAGAATTTACACAAGAAAATCCCTTTTGTCGATTTAAGGTATTAATACTATTTTTGAGCTTCATTTAAGAGTATAAGCAAGAACTTAGTTTTAGAGTAAAATTACATCATAAAGATAGTTGCTTGGTTCTTTATTTAAAAAATACAGGAAGTATAAAGTCAAAGTGAGTTCTTTCATGTATGTGGTTCTAGAGTAAGCAGAATATCTGAAATGGAGGGAGGTATGACTAGAATGTGGTTTGTACAACTAAGGAAAAAATGTTAGAGGGAAAGTGGTGCTTTTGGCACTTGTAACAGGATTTGAAACTGGATGTATTCATCTAACATTGGCCAAGAAAGTGTGTACCAGTCAATGGACAGGAGTTCTCTTAGGTATGTTTTACCTTGTTACATATAGCTGGATGTCAAAGGCAATAAAGTAATATTACACACAAATTTTAAAAATCATTCTAATTCTTTGGTTAATTTAAATTTGACTTCAGATAATCTGTTCAACAGTCATTTGGAGTATTTAGGTATTTTTGCTACTGGGCAGTATATTCCCATTTTTTTTTCTTTACCCTGAGGTGTTGGGAATTGAACTGAGGGTCTTGATCATGCTGTATAAATATGAACCTAGTATTCTTTTTAAGACAAGATCTTACTCTATAACTCAGGCTGGCCTACTTACGATGTAGACTAGGTTGGCCTAGAAATCATGATCCCTCTACCTTAGCCTCTGGAATGCTGAGATTACTAGTGTAACTTCAGATCTCAGACTCCTGAGTAGCTAGGATTACAGGCAGGTAGCCACTGGTGCCTGGCTTTATTTTATTCCTAGTTAATATATTTTTTCTTTATGAATGTGAGGTTGTCTTCAGAGTAAGAATGGTGAGAAGAATTATTACCTTCATTTATCAGACAATCTGTTTTTTCCATTTTAGTAGATATTAAGCTATTAATATTAAATGTGCAAAGTCTGTATGTATTCTTATGTAATTTACTTTGTCATTTTACAGGCTGTAGGTTATAGCTGTATGCCAAATAATAAAGATGAAGATGGTCTAGTGGTTTTAGTTTTCAACAAGAAAGAAACAGATATTCGAAATCAACAACAGCAGTTGGTAGAATCACTACATAAAGTTTTGGGAGGAAACCAGACCCTTACTGTAAATGTAGAGGGTATTAAAACATTGCCAGATGATCAGTAAGTATACATTTAATACCTTTTATTTTGTATGCTGTGGTTCAAAAGTGCTTTTGTTGCTGAAGTATAAATGAAATTTTAGAATAGAATGTTATTACTCAGTTGGTTGTTATCCAGTGTTTATAGAAATATTTATTTAAAAGCTTTTCTTTATCTTATTAGATGTAACTGATTTTGTAGATTTTCATTCAGGACATAGAAGAGACATTTACTGTGGCTATGTACAAATTATGCTGCCACAAAGATGTTACTAGAGGAGTTTTGTTAGCTGATTACTATTTGTGTTTATTCATGTTTACTTTCCTTGTGCTATGTATAATTTTAGTTTTAGCAGCAAGATATTTGTTTCAGGATATTTAAAGTTAGATGAATTTAAATTACTTACTTTAGTGCGAGACAATAACTGAGTCAGATTTTACTTCTTGGGTCTTACTTGCAAAGAAGCAACTCATTACACTCTGTAGAATCTGTGTTCATTTACAGGTGAAGTTTTCTAAGTCTGTTTTCTAAGACTTAAGGAAAAACATTTTAATTCCTTGTTAGAACTGTTTCCGAATTAAGTTAAACACCCTTCTAAAATTATATCCTATGTTGATATTAGGGTTTATGAATTATGTGCTCATGCACATTGGTTGTTTTTCTCCAGGACAGAAGTTGTCATTTATGTTGTTGAGCGTTCTCCTAATGGTACCTCAAGAAGAGTTCCAGCTACAATACTCTACTCCCATTTTGAACAAGCCAATATAAAAACACAGTTGCAGCAACTTGGTGTCACACTTTCTATGACAAGAACAGAACTTTCTCCTGCACAGATCAAACAGCTTTTACAGAATCCTCCTGCTGGTATGTTTCTAGAGTCATAAAGTTGAGAAAATGAAACCTTTTGAAATAAATGATCTTCCTTCTTTTGGTTATTAGTGTTAATGAAATCTGAATGAACTTATTTTATGTCTCCTTATTTAGGGGACATAGTTTTGTCTTCAGTCATATAATTTAAAAAATAGCTAATAATGCTTATTAAAAAATTGGGTGGCTTACGCCTGTAATCCTAGCTACTCAGGAGATTGAGATCTGAGGATCCAGGTTCAAAACCAGCCAGGGCAGGAAACTCCATGAGACTCCAATAAGCCACTAAGGAAACTGGAAGTGGTGCTGTGGCTCAAGTGATAGATTGCTTGCCTTGAGCTGAAGAGCTGAGGGACAGCACCCAGGCCCAGAGTTCAAGCCCCATGACTGACGAAAAAAAAAAAAAATTGGGACATGAAGTAAAAATAATCCATAATTCATCTGGCCATTGGTAATTCACTTGTAATATTTTAACTTTTCTAATTTTCATCTGAGTATTAAAGTAAAACCTGAATGTGTTCCCGTTGTGAATGTTTACAAGTAACCTAGTCTACTTGCTAATTTCCTTTATTTCTTCCCTAGAAGTAACTGTTAATAATTTATTGAATTCTATTCCTTAATCTGTGGTTTAAAATGTAAGCAGATATACATTATGTAGTTACTCTGAAAAAAGAATTCAGCACTGCATGCTCACCACCCCTTTCTTTTTTATTTCCAGTATTTCTTAGTAATTTTCATCAGTACATGAAGACAAACTGTATTCTGCTTAAACACTAGGTAGTATTAGTATTTTACTAATTTTACATTATTTAATTACTTAGCCTTAGTGTTGTTTCTATGTTTTGTTTTGTTGCTGGTCCTAGGGCTTGAAAGTGAGTCTGGTACTTTCCCTGAGTTTTTGTGCTCAAGACTAGAACTCTACCACTTGAATCACAGCTCTACTTTTGGCAATTTTATGTTTAATTGGAGATTAGAGTCTCACTGACTTTTCTGTCCAGGCTGTTTTTGAAACATGATCCTCAAATCTCAACCTTCTGAGTAGCTAGGATAACAAGCATGAGCCACCAGCGCCTGGCATATATTTTCAGTATTACAAAACTGCAGCACTTAACATCCTTGTAAATATATCTTTGAAAACCATGGGTGTCTACTTTTTTAGAATAGATCTGTGGTACTGAAATTGGGTCAGTATTATGTATGTCAAAAATGTAGCATGATAAGTGCCAAATTGCCCTTCAAAAAAAGCTCTGTAATTTATATTCTTGATAGGAAAGTGGATTTTTTGGATGGATTTTTTTGCCACTGAATTGTTCTAATCTAATTCCTCTGTTTATTAGCCACAATTTTAATGTAAATTACCTATTTATCTCTTTCCCCCTTTTCTATTAGATTTTTGTCTATTTATAGGAGCTGTATATTTCTAGAAGCAAACCAGTTAACCTTTAAGTTACAGCTTTTCAATCTGTACTTTTGTTTTAGCTTTATCTTACAGAATTTTTTATTTTTGGCTGGGAATGTGGCTTAGTGGTAGAGTACTGGCCTAGCATGCATGAAACCCTGGGTTCCATTCTTCAGTACCACATACACAGAAAAAGCTGGAAGTGGTGCTGTGGCTCAAGTGGTAATGTGCTAGCCTTGAGCAAAAGAAGCTCAGGGACAGTGCCCATGCTCTCAGTTCAAGCCCCAGGACTGGCAAAAAAAAAAAATTACAGTGATCATATTTGACAGCTGTTTTTTATTATAGCTTCTGAGTTTAGGGTCCTACTTTAGGAAAGCCTTTCCCATATAAATAGTATAAACATAGAAGACTGCTTTAGAAAAAATATTTTTTCTTTGTGGTAGGTGTTGATCCTATTATTTGGGAACAAGCCAAGGTGGATAATCCTGATTCTGAAAAGTAAGTGTATCTTCATCTAAATATGTATAATCTTTACTATTAGCAAAGGTAACAAATCTGAACTGAACTATTAATTTTAATTCTTACATTTGAGGAGAGTTTACTTTCATCATATTTTAAAACATACCTGCCATGGTGAGGCAGCACTAAGGTACAAACTAAGGAAGGAGAAATCTTGAATGTTAATCCCCTAACTATTTGCATTTAAATAATGAAAGTTTTTTGACAAAACTATATAACTTTTTGCAAGCAAGGGAGGCTGAATAAAAAGTAACTTTTATTTTATAGACATGGATCTAGAAATTTGATATAAAATTACTTGAATGTTACTATGTAACATAATTTACATCCTGTATTTTTTACATCCTGTATTTGGTAGGCCTCAGACTGAATGTTGATCCACTTGCATTTTAGGTTAATTCCTGTACCCATGGTGGGTTTCAAAGAACTTCTTCGAAGACTGAAGGTTCAAGATCAGATGACTAAGCAGCATCAGACCAGATTAGATGTAAGCAACTAGTTGTTGATTCTCTAGCACTGAGAATAGAAAGGATTATATTTACTTATTATGTATTATCTCTCTCTCTTCTCTCACATAGATTCAATGTCTGCGTTGTTACAGTTTACATCATTTTTTCTGGCACTGCTTTCTGTGTTCTTGTGACAACCCTACAAATATTTAGATGTATCATAAACATTTTTCCTTTTTTGTATTCTAAAATTCTAGTATGGGATCTGGGAAGTTGGCTCAGTGGTAGAGTGCTTGCCTCGAATGTATGAGGCCCTGGGTTCGATTCCTTAGTACCATATAAGCAGAAAAAAGCCAGAAGCGGCACTGTGGCTTAAGTGGTAGGGCGCTAGCCTTGAGCTGAAGAGCTAAGTTGACTGACTATTAATACTGACTAGCATGTGACTATACTTTTTTTTTTTTTTTGGTGCTGGTCCTGGAGCTTGAATTTGAGCTAGGACACTGTTCAGTGCTAGTGCTCTACCACTTGAGCCATAGTACCACTTCTAACTTTTAATTAGAGATCCGTCTCATGGATTATCCTACTCAGACTGTCTTTGAACCATGATCCTCAGATCTCAGCCTCCTGAGTAGTTAGGATTTCAGGTATGAGTCATTGGTACCTGGCTTTAAAGAAGAGTTCTTCAATTTAGAGTTCTCCAGAGAAGCTGTTCTCTTTTGTGAGTCTTGCTAGACATTTGTCTATTTCATTGATCGTTTCAAAGAGTAAGGTTTGGTTTTTATTGTTTTTATTCTCCAGTTTTTTAGTTCTACTAATTTCTGGTCTTGTTATTTCCTTTAAATTGCTTGCTTTGAATTTGTTTTTCTAACTTCTTAATGTAGAAGTATGGATGATTGATATGTGATCCTTCTTTTCTAATATAAATATTTAATACTGTTCCCTTCTAAGCATCACTTTAACTAAACCCAACAAATTTTCATACTTGTATGTTTTCTCTTGATTTTGAGGTAGGGTCTATGTAGCCTAGCTGGCCTAAAATTTAAAATCCTTCCACTTGAGCCTCCCAAATGCTAAGACGTATTTGTTATATGCATATGCCAACACATCTGGCTACATATTTATTTATGCCAGTCTTGGGGCTTTGACTATTTGCTTATTTTGGATTCAAATATTCTGCCTAACTGTAATTTTTAATTCCTACACATTCATAACACAAATCAGTTGGTTCAGAGAAGCTTTCAGTGCGATGTTATCAGTTTTGCTTAAATTGTTATGTGCCCTTAATTTGGTAAAAATACAGTATGACTTCCAAAAAGCAAATGTTGTCCCCAAAGCAAGGTAAAAATTAATCTTCACAAACCAAAAACTATACATAATGTGATGCCCAATATAAGTGACAAATTGATTTTTTCCCCCTTTGGTGGTTCTGGGACTTGAATTCAGATCCCCACATTTGTTAGTGTTATTCCCCTAACTCATGCCTCCAGCCCTGGATTCTACTGGTTTCTTTTAGAAGAAGATCTCTGCCCATACAGGCTCCGCCTGAGCTGTGAGCTGCATACTCTCAGACTTTCTGTTGTCACTGGGATCACAGACATTCATCTCTGCTTCCAGCTTCCCTCCTTGGAGATGGAATCTTAGGGACTTTCCAGCTCAGGCTGGCCTGATACAGTGATCCTTCCAATCTCAGCTTCCCAAGAAGGTTGGGATGACAGGTAGATACATACCATGGTACTGTCTATGAGTTAAGGAAGAATGTTGCAGACCTTTCTGCCCAAGCTGGCCTTCAACTGTAGTTATCCCATTTTCAGTCTCTACCAATGCCTAGTTCTACCTTTTCTTCACTAGTTTACCATTTTGGATTTTAATCCTCATTTGTTTTTAACATTGCAGATATCTTGTTTCTTGTTTCTCATCTCTTAACTCGTCTTTGGTATCCTAATAGTTGAATAGATTTCCTTAAATTGAATGTAGTAATGGCCATCCACTATTTTACCCTGTAATTAGGATTGGGTGGGTTGTTTAAATCGTTCTTCACCTCACAAGCTCTTGTGGGGTAAGAATCTTGTTTTCCCCCTTAACATTTCTGAGTTTAACTTTCATACTTAGATATTTTGTCATTGTACAGCTACCCTTTATACATGTGTATAAACCTAACTTTATTTTCTCTAAATAATTGATCCAGTTCTTGAATCTCATCTGTAAAAAAAATTTTGATTTGTCCCAATTAAGCATTTAGTTGATAGCATGGTTTTTTTTTTGTTTTTTGGGGGGGTCCGGTCATGGGGCTTGAACTCTGGGCCTGGGCGCTGTCCCTCAGCTCTTCAGCTCAAGGCTAGCGCTGTACCACTTGAGCCACAGCGCCACTTTTGGCTTTTTTCTTTTTGCTTATGTGGTGCTGAGGAATCGAATCCAGGGCCTTAGGCATGCAAGGCAAGCACTCTACCACTGAGCCACCTTCCCAGCCCCTTGATAGCATGTTTATGTATATATGTATGTGTGTGAGAGAGCTCTATGTCTAAACTCACTATTTTCACTGGCCACAGGTCTGTTAGCATACTAGTTTCACTTTTTTTTTTCAAGTTCTCATGGCTTTGTGATAGATCTTATTATCTACTGGATTAAATTTCCAATCCTTGTTGTTTTCAGTTTATTTTAAGCTCATTGTGGATCTTTATTCTCTCATAAAGATTTTAGAAGCAGGTCTAGTAACTACCTGCCTAGTTAAATGCACAGCCTTGAGAACAAACCCCTAGTACCACCAATAACAAAGGTTTGAGAATCAGCTTTTCACAGCTATAATTTGGGTTGTAATTGCTAAATGTAAAGACTAATCTGTGGAAAACTGAATTGTTAAACATTTCATTTATGAATAGGTTATATCTCTTTAATCATTGAGGTCTTTATAATTACTTTATGTCTTTCAAAATAGTTTTATAGGGAAGTGGAGATGTGGTTCAAATGGTAGAGCACTAGTCCTGTGCAAAAAAGCTCAGGACAGTGCTCAGGCCCTGAGTTCAAGCCCCAGGATTGGCACCATTAAAAAAAAGTTTTAAAGGAATAAAAAAACATTTTTAAGTTTTTTTTGAAAAAAATCTCATATGTTCTCTTTTCACTAATTTTAGCTTATTAGTAAACACTGTGATGGTGTTATGGTTACCTAATTTTGTTCCTCATCCATTTCTTGAAAAGTTGATGGGCACATCCATGTGCCCACATGCTAAAATTTCTTGCAATCTTAATTTTTTTTTTCCTAGCACATGTTGATACAAGCCAGTGGCATATAATGATTAAGGCAGGGACAAGTATGAGGTTAAACTTGATTGGGCTGCTTAATGGAACCAGGAGACTTCGTGCTAGTCTGTTAAGGCTTCAAACAGCAGAATAAGATTTTAGGACAGAGAACAAATAAAAATGCAGAGGCATGGCTGGGTGCAGGTGGCTCATTCTAGCTACTCAGGAGGCTGAGATCTAAAGATCACAGTTTAAAGCCAGCCTGGACAGGAAAATTTGTGAGACTCTTTATCTCCAATTAACAAGCAAAAAGCTAGAAGCAGAGCTGTGAAAAGGCTAAGCGACAGCACTCGGGCCCTGATTTCAAGCCCCAGTACTGGCACCAAAAAAAAAGAAAATGGAAGGGAAGAGAACTGTGAATATCTTTTTTTTTTTTTTTCCTCTTTATTACTCCCAGGTATTCTGTAACACTTAGGTTGGACTGTATTATACTTTCTGGCTCCAGTAGCTTGTACTATGGATCCCATCACCCACCATTATTTTATATTAGCATTTTCCATCTCAGCCAGTTACTGGATCTTTTCCCTAATATTGAAAATTTCTTATTTCTGAAATGTTTTATTCCCTACTATATATATTGGCTCATCACTGAAAATTCTGAAGGTCTAAAGAAATCTTTGGTACTTTCATAAGAAGGGAAGGAATATAAAATGCCAAGACTTTGTATTTGGGAAAATGAAAAACATTGCAAAATTAGACTTTACATATAGGTGAACCTGTTAAAGTTGTGATATCCATAATTTACCTGAAAAAAAAAACATGTTTTTCATCCAGGTGTAGTGGCATATGCCTGTAATCTCAGCACTGGCGCAGGAGAATAGTTAGTTCTATGCTAGTCGGGTCTATGAGGCCAAAGAAGCAAAAATACTTTTTTTCCCACAGATCATATCTGAAGATATTAGTGAACTACAAAAGAATCAGACTACAACCGTGGCCAAAATTGCACAATACAAGAGGAAACTCATGGATCTGTCCCATAGAACTTTACAGGTAATTTTAATATTTTTTCAACATTTCTAAGATGGTATGTGTGAAATAAGTGCAAAAATGCATAATAGAAAAAAAGACAGTAGTCTAAAGTGAAACCAAATTTCCTTTGTGAAACTTAGAAATTAAAGGATTTGTATTTCAAGGTTGAGTGAAGAGAATAAAATGTTCCGAAGTGAAAAATACCTGAAATCCATCTTAGTATGAGGGAAAGTTGAAGTAAAGCATGTTAGTGCAAGGGGAGCAAGTATAAAGTCACTGATGATGGTTTTCAGAAAATACAAGTTTTTATCTTGACTACTAGAGAAAGAGTGTAGTTAATCATTGAAAAACAGCTTCCAGGCTGATGAAAAACACTGAAATTATAAAATCGTGAAAGTAGAAATATTACATATCAGAATCAATTAGCAAAAGCTATATGCGTAGGAAAATAGAAGTGATTGTAAAAGTCTTTATTTAGACAGGACGCTGGTGGCTCTCCCAAGTAACCCAGTTTATTCAGGAAGCCGAGATCTGAAGTTAGCAGCTGAGAAGCCAATCCAGGCACACAAGTCTGTGAGATGGTATCTCCAACTAGCAAAAACACCAGACTAGAGGTGTAGCTCTAATAGTAGATCCCTAGCCATGAGCAAGAAAGTGGAGCAAGGGCCAGCTAAGCCAGGTGCCAGTGGCTCACACTTGTAATCTTAGCTACTCGGGAGGCTGAGATAGGAGGATTGCAGTGGTATATATGTGTATATAAGGCTATTTGGGGGTCTATATGTACATTCACATGAATGTGCATGAAAACTATAGGACAGTGAGCTTCAGTCAAGCACTGTTTGTTTTAAGAATGAGAGAACATTTGCCTCATAGACACACAAATATGGCATTATTATAACTGAGGTAGGGACCTAGGCATTCTAGATAGGCACTGTACCATGTGGGCCATACTACAGCCCCTTTTGTTTTTTTAGGTAAGGTGTTGTGCTTTTGCCCATGGTTAGCCTCAGAGTGCACAGCTTCTCACGTCCCCCACGTAGCTGGGATGACACCCATGCAGCCGCACCCTGTCAGTTATGAGGAAAATTAGGGATTTGATTAACTCACTTAAACTACAAACCACCCGTAAAAACTTCAAGTGGCATAGAATATAAATTTATTAAGTATGTCAAAAAATATACTCCCTAATGTTAATTTTTTAAGTGTAAAGATAAAAGGAAGCTGAATAATAAAACGTTTATATGTTATAAAAGCAAAAAAAAACTGGGCTAGCGGTGTGGCTTTAAGTGGTATCATCAGAGCTGAGCAAGTAAGTGAGAAGGCTTCAGTCCCCGAGTACAAACCTCAGTACTATAAAAACAAAGTATATCCCCTACTACTACCACCCGAATTGAAGTGTGGACTGTTGAGTCTTGCTATATGGTTAGTATAGCTTTCAACTGATTTTTGTTAGCAGTTGTAGTAAAATGACTTTCATGACTAAAGAGATGATTCTTTTTTTTTTTTTTTTCTGGTTTTGGGGCCTGACCTCTGGGCGTGGGTGCTGTCCTCAGCTCTTCAGCTCAAGGCTAGCGCTCTACCACTTGAGCCACAGTGCCACTTGCGGCTTTTTCTGCGTATGTGGTGCTGAGGAATTGAACCCAGCGCCTCATGCATGCAAGGCAAGCACTCTACCACTGAGTTACCTTCCCAGCCTAAAGAGATGATTCTAATTAAATTAGTACTGGTAACTTTCCTTTGTATAGGTCCTAATCAAACAGGAAATTCAAAGAAAGAGTGGTTATGCCATCCAGGCTGACGAAGAGCAGTTGCGGGTTCAGTTAGATACAATCCAGTGTGAACTAAATGCACCTACTCAGTTCAAGGTAAACATTTCTAAGATTATAAAGCCAGAGCTTATTTTCACAGGATCTTCAGTAATGTGTTAGTGGTCTTTAAACAAATTTTGTATAGTTGTATTTATTAATCATTTGTTCTGTTGGGAAAGATTTAATTAAACTCACAGTTGTGATTCTTTTGGCTTGTGTTGGGATTTTAAATAATAAACAGGATAATGACATAAACAATCTTTTTATTCGTTCATTCAAAGCTGGCAATTGACCACTTGGGCCACATAGCACGTGTGGCTCATGCCTGTAATCCTAACCCCTGGGATGTTTAGTTAGTCAGGATTGTGATTTGAGGCCAGCCTAGGTGTACATGTAAGACCAAAAACTTCTCAACCAATAGCTGCACGTGGGATGCCTCTGTCACCCTAGTTAGTTAGAGGCTGCTATTGGGAGGCTCATGGTTCCAGGGAAGCCAGTGCAGAAAAGCCCACTAGACTCCTTTCTCGAAGGAAGAAGCGGAGCATGGTGGCATGCACCTGTCATCCCAGCCACCACAGGAAACAAAAGTCAGATCATGGTTAACATACACCCAGGCAGGAAATTAAACAGTGTAAGAGGGGAAGGCATGCTTGGTGGTACAGCTCTGAATTTAGACCCCTGTGCTGCACAGGAAACATGTGGGTGCTGTTGTTAGCTGCTGTATTCTGATTCATTTTTAGGGCCGGCTAAATGAACTGATGTCCCAGATCAGGATGCAGAATCATTTTGGAGCAGTCAAATCTGAAGAAAGATACTATGTAGATGCAGATCTATTACGAGAAATCAAGCAGGTAGGTGTCACTACAAGTCCAGTATAGGATAGCTGTTATTCCCAAAGCAAAATAGTCAAGCCCTGGTGGCTCAAATGTAATCCTAGCTATTCAGGAGACTGAAATCTGAGGATCACAGTTTGAAGCCAGCCCACGCAGGGAAGTCCATGAGACCAGCAAAAGACTGGAAGTGGAACTATGACTCAAGTGGTGGAATGCTAACCTTGAGTGAAAAGGCTCAGGGACAGTGCCCATGCCCCGAGTTCAAGCCCCAGGACCAGCATACACACACAAACACAAAATCAGCACTCATGAGAATGTGCTGAAAGCAGAACCTTCATTCACTGTTGAGGTTCACCTTGCAGGAAGAGGCTGGAAGCATTAATAGCACTTGTTTTCACTTGTGGTCTGATGGTACACTTTGTGGGACATATGTAGTTAGAACTGTTGCCTGCTGTGAGGATTTCAAGTGCACATGATTCGGGTATTATATGCTCTAGAATAAGTGTTGTTTTTTATGTTTCTAAAAGCTATGTTCTTGGAAAATACGTAATTCCATTAAGTTCTTGAAATAAAATTAAACAGTACCAGCATAACACAGCTATATTTTAAAATTTATATATGCAATAAGAATTTGGAAAATCCTGGTTATCTACTCTATGACCCTGGGCAGCTTACTAACCTGTGTCTTCATTTCCTTAACTATAGAGTGGAAATTATCCTGAGTACCATAACAGTACTCAGAGGGTTCTAAATGAAGTACAAGCTAATACTAGTAAAGCTGTTAAGATAATACTTAGCACATGGGAAGGACTACTTAAAATGTTAGCAACTATTACCATCACTGAAAATTCTGTTTTCAAAATTACTGTTTTACTAGTCATCTATATTTAAGTGCTTTGAGTTCTATTTTAATAGTCCTTTGATTTGGTTTGGTCAGAAGTTGGTAAAAGCACTTTAAAGATACAGTGTGTACATATAAAATGATTGGCAATGATACTTTTGGTGTTTAAATATGCATGCTTGTTATATTCAGGGTAGCTACTAGGTACTGTATTGCTAGTAAAAGAGTAAAATAGTCTCTTAAGTAGCTTAGTTTAAGAGTACAGGGGCTGGGAAGTTGGCTCAGTGGTAGAGCGCTTGCCTTGCATGCCTGAGGCCCTGGGTTCGATTCCTCAGCACCACATAAGCAAAAAGAAAAAAGCCGGAAGTGGCGCTGTGGCTCAAGTGGTAGAGCACTAGCCTTGAGCTGAAGAGCTGAGGGACAGCACTCAGGCCCAGAGTTCAAACCCCATGACTGGACCCAAAAAAAAAAAAAAAAAAGTACATTAGTGTTTTATTAACATTTTATTTTCTTTAATTCTAGCATTTGAAACAACAACAGGAAGGCCTTAGCCACTTGATTAGCATCATAAAAGATGATCTAGAAGATATAAAATTGGTAGAACATGGATTGAATGAAACCATCCACATCAGAGGCGGTGTCTTTAGTTGACAATTAACTTGGATTTGGGTCTGTAAAATGCTTTCTCTTACTACATCAGGCCTTCCTTAAGATAACCACATGGAAGGAAAAGGAAGGAAGGATCCTCTCCTGTCTGGGATTTTTGAGATTACTGACAAATTCACCTCACAGTTCTTCAAAGATTTCCATCTAAAAGTTTCAGTCACTTAATAAGAGAAGTACATAACTCCCCAAAGTCTATGTACTTTGTACATTTTTACGACAGCTTTGCACGTAATTACAGTGTTTAATTTGTGTATTGGCTGCTGGAGATTTGTTCTTCAGGATGTAAATCAGTTTTTAATCTGTGAGTTCAACTGTGGGAGGAGTAAAGAAAATTCAAAAGTATCTAATGATTAATGTGGTTTTCTTTTTGTTCTATAAAGATTTGAAGTATATTTTTATATTAATTTACAGAACACCTAGACAATTAGGATATAACAAAATTACCATTTCTGCAAGGTTTTGCTTTTTAAACCTTTTATTTCTAAAAATATGAAAACTTTAAAATAAATTCTTAATTTGTAATTACTTTTGTATAAGTCTGGTTTACTTTATTTAGATTTTGAGAAAGACCATTTATGTCTGTACACAAGCACTAAAATTCGTATTGATAATCTAGTACTTTTTGTCTTAAAATGTCATTTTTCTTTTAATAACCATCTAGGAATGTGAAAGCAGAAAATCTGAGCCATGCAGTTTTAAACAGTATTTCTGACTGTGTCTATAGACCTGGATTGCATATTGTTGGCACCTCTGGAAATGCTATCAACTTGGTACTTTTGTGTGATGCTTAGGCTTTTAGTGAAAGGCCGAACAAGAAATAGTACCACGGTTCTTGGTATTGTTTCCTGCAGGACTGGTGAGGATGATGCTCAGAATCCATCCTCTGAGCAACTTGAAGTAATTTCTCTTTAGTTGTTGCAGACTAGCTTACAGTTGTGTAGGAGATTAGGAACTTTAAAACTGATCTTTCAACGTAGCTGCTAGAGTTTTGCAGCCACTTGTACTCAATTTATGGCATGCAAATGTGTTCCTGTCCTACTATAAACTACCCCCTTTCACCACATTTCTTACCTATTTCTTGCAATTCCAACAGTGAGGAATTTTTCCTGTATGAATTTTCTCCTCAGAAGATAGGTGTATCTATTCTCACCTACACAGCCAGGTGTATGGAGAGGAGTTTCCATCTCTCTGCACTTTCCTTTACAGTAAGAAGGAAGAACTGTTGGTCCAAATGATGAGAACTGTTAGTCACCAAGACAGTCTAGTGAGTGGACTACTAAGTCATGCATATGCTGCTCACTAGCCTTTTATTTTTCAAGTCTAGTATTAAGTTCTTCATAGCTAGAAAGGACTTAGGATCTGCCTTCTGAAGACCAGCCCAGTCATCCCCGGCCACTATTCCACTGGCAACTGCACCCATAAGGCAAGCCTGTGGTCCTGTATATAACTGCTAAGATACTAATATCCAGCAATACTATATTGTCTTCTAAGCACTGACAGCCAAGTGCTTTAGACTGAAGATTTCAGATTGAAATCCCAACACTCAGTGTGGTATTAAGAGATGGTGCTTTGTGAGGGGATCGGGTTATGAGGATGGAGCCTTCAGTAAACGGCATTACCCCACTTCTCTTGCCCCTTGGACTAAAGAGGGCCTCCCTCATCAGGAACTACATCTGCAGCACCTACATCTTGCATTTCCCAGTCTCCAGAACTGGGGGGAATGGATTTCTGTTCTTCATAGGTCATCTAGTCTATGGTATTCTGTTATTACAGCAGTCTAAACAGACTTAAGATGTCAAGTTCTAAACGTGGGTAGGTGGAAGATCCCCTTTAAACCTTAGTACTAATTTGTGTTTCATAACTACTTACCAGAAATTCTGTATATAGCCCTCAGCAGGCTAGTGGTTCTTGAGGAGTCTTCCCTCAAGACTTTTGAGTGTGTAGTAACTGGCAAAATGAAAGCATACTGAACACATAACCCCTAATTGAAATCTTCTGTAGCCTTAACACCTTTTTGAAACAGTGGCAAAATATGTCTTAGTTACCAAAGCCCAGGCCTAAAATAATCACTAAGAAATGGCAGTTGTAGCTAGAGAATAAAGATCACACTTACTGTAGAACTTTGCTTTTTCTTTGTTTGATATATTTAGTTCCCTGTCTGCCTTACTAAGCATGAGAGTCAGGGTAGACACTATGTGAAACCTTTTGAGAATTGTTGGGTTTAGTTCATAAACCAAGAGAAAAGATGGAGGGAAAAGTAATGGTATTACCTGAAGGTGAAATTCATTCACAGAGATGAGAATATCTTCAAAATGGTGATTCTGGTATTCAGTCCATGGTGGCCACTAGCATTAGCAGTAGACTTTTATGTCCAAGACCAGGACTCACACTCAGTAACTGATGCTGCACCTCCAACCTCAGCAGTAGACATTTTAATACAGAAATATATTTTTTATTGAATCCAATCAAAAGTATACAGTTTGGGCTTTTTCAATCTTAAGATTAATATAGAAATAAATGAAAAATTAATTTTGTGATGCCAGACTAACTTACAGAATGACAAAATAAATTGTACAGTTCTCAGTTTATGAAGTGACTTTGGCCAACAAGTGAAAAACACATCATTCCTATTGACCTCCACTGGGATCCCTTAGTGTATTTCAAATAAAGAGTAAGACCAAAAAACAAAACAAAAAACAACCCCACAAAAAACAAAAACGAAAAAAAAAACCATCGAACTATGGGGAAATGAGCTCATTGACAGCAGAAGCGCTGAGTAAAATGACGACTGTCCCAAACGGAAGGAGCATTTTGCCGGAGGATGCAGAGGGATGGCTTTTGGGACTTGGAACAGGAACTGGACCTGCAGCTGCTGTAATGAGAACACACAGTCACTGATCATTTCTGCCATCAAGTACTGTCTACCTATGCCATATATCCCGAAACAACAGGGGAGGCAGAGATTTTGGCTTATTACAGATTTCAGAGTACATTTTCATCTTATAAGGACATGCTATTCTGGCTTTTACCTTGGATTCCCTAGGCATTGAAACCTCTGGCCAAGACTTTTTTTCTAATTAGCAATAGTAGGGTTTGAAAACTTGGCCTTACACTTGCTCTCCTGGGACTCTGACCTTTGCTAGTTATTCTGGAGACAGTCAGGCTGGCTTTGAACCTTTATCCTCCAGATTTCTACATGATGTACCAGCAGTTCAAGTTCTCTAAAATATCTTAAGAATTTTCAATTTCAATTTTCCATCAAGTCTATGTTTTCTATTTCAAAGAAGACACAGGCATATTCAAACAGCTGTCTGTATACAGGTGTCCTACAAGCTGATGGAACAGTTTGCTACACACATACCTGTGGAGAAGCTGCTTCCCTTTCATCTTAGCTAGTAAAGTGGAGCAGTGGAGACCACCTATAGGATCATCTGCTTTACACCTAACACCCTGGTTTGTAACTATGGTTTGTGTTTAAGTATTACAAGAGTTGGCTACTAGAGGTTTCTCTGCATAGGATAACCAGTCATAGTTCCTAAGTGAAACCAAGAGAATAGCCAGTACATTTTATAGGCACCTTCATAGCAACTTACTTGACGCATAGTTACATAAACATGCAGTTACATGCAGAGACAGAAATGGATGGGTAGATACACATGCATTGCTGTTAGTATGTTACTACAGACCAGTGGTTCTCAAGTTGATACAGACAATTTGGACAACTGTCAAAGGAATTTTGTTTACTTTGCAGTACTGGGGACAGCCTTATTAGGCAAGAGCTAAGCTACTGCGCCAACATCCTCAGCCTTTTCTCCCCCTTTTTAATAAGGGTCTGGCCTCAAGTTTGCAATCCTACCCCAGTCTCTTCAGTATTTTGGATTACAGTGCCACCATTCCTAAAAAAATTTTTTTTTTAAATTTCAATTGCAACAAGAGTGGAGATAGAAGGCTACATATCCTGAATGCTCCAGACAGTCCTGCACAATGAAAGCCCAGACTGCTTCCTGTGCAGCTTTCAATACATGAAGCCACACTTTAATGACCTTACAAGCAGCATCACATATAAAAAGTATTTTCTAAGTTGGCCACTGGTGGCTCATACCTGTAATCCCAGCTATTAAGGAGGCTGAGATCTGAGAATTTCAGTATGAAAACAGCTCAGGCAGGAAAGAGTGACTTCAGTTAACCACAAAACAAAACATGCCAGAAGTAAAGCTGTGGTTCAAGTGGCAGAGTTCTAACCTTGAGCAAAGAAGCTCAGGTACCCAGGCTTTGAGTTTTAGTCTCAGGAGTAGCACAACAAATAAAATGGGCCAGATGCCAGTGGCTCACATCTGTAATCCTAGCTGAGATTTGAAGATTGTGGTTCAAAGCCAGCTTAGGCAGGAAGTCCGAGACTTATCTCCAAATAAACCACCAGAAAACTGAAGTAGAGCTGTGGCTCAAAGTAGTAGAGCACTAGTCTACAGTGAAAAAAGCTCAGGGACAGTGCCCAGGCCCTAAGTTCAAGCCTTATGACCAACAAAATAAAGTAAAAATAAATGGTAATCCCTCTGTATACTATCTTAATAATAAAATTATACTTAAAACATAAATACATAGTATTCTCTGATAACGGTTTTTCTTCTTTTTTGGGAGGGGGAAGAACTGAGGCTTAACCCCTGGGCTTCATATTAGCCAGAAACTGCTCTATTACCAAGCCACACTCTCTGCCCTTTAAGTGTGGACTGCAATCCTACTTATGCCTACCCTATTAGTCTTTACCTCCTGGATAGCTGGGATTACAGGCATGAGTCAGAATACCCAGCCTCTGAGAGTTTTAATAAGCATTGAGCATGTTACCTGCTGTTCCCTGTTTTTCTTTGCTTTGATATACTTATATTTCTTGTATAGCGTATCTTCCAATTTTAAATCCAAATGTATTTACATAAGTAAATGTAAGCATCTACTTCACTGAGTCAGTATAAATATTTTTATATTGACATTGTCATTTTTGTCATAAATTGTAGTCAGGACATACTGACTATATGGTACAGGTATGTCTTATCTATAGACCTGATCTCAGGATAATCTATAAAGGCATCATAAAAATATTTGCTATTTTGAAAGGATTTTCTGATTGAAAGGATTGAGAACCACTGTGCTGAACAGTATAGTCTACATACTGAAAAAAATTAAAAAATCATTATGAAACAAAATCAAGCAAGTTACCTATATCACAAACATGCATGTAAACATTTGAGCATGTCATTATACTCATTATTATTCCTTAAACCCTTGTAACTTTCTCTTGTTGAGGAAAAGTTACAATTTTCACCTTTTCTATATTGCAGAAACACTTATCAAATGAAGAAATATTTCTTACTAGGATTGTCGATGTTTATTTGACTTCTGTCTCCTAAAAATACAAAGAGATTCAGAGTTAACTGCATTATGCATCTACTTATCCAGAAAAAGAGACCTGCTTAAAGAATCTGAATGGCCTGAGGAGCAGACCCACTCTTGGCTTTAAAGCCAAATGCCAATTCTAGGAGCCTGGGATAAAGATGTATCTAACAAAATCTGGATGAAAAACAAGTTATGTGACAGAAAGTGAACAACACTTGGAATGTTTGAGTTCTGGTTGTCTCTTTCTAGTCCCTTACAAATTTCTTAATCTTCCTATGTGCTACGTCCTCATCTCCGAAGTGGCAAGGACAGTGTTTCATTGGATAAAATGGGATCTTGAACATTATTCTAACACGTTAAAATAGCCTGCACTGCACAGAAGAGGGCACTATACAGCACAGCTTGAGCTAACCTAGGTGTGTATTGGTTGCGAAGTGTCCAGTCATTGCATGGCTGGCCCAACATTAGGATGTTTTGTAGATCTCAGTCTTACTTTCTAATGATGATATTCCCTCCCAGCTACAGCTCAGCCTAGGAAGCCTCCTGCCTCATTCTAGAAGACCAGCACAGCTGGACAGCAACTGCTCATTTCTAGTCAAGCACTTTACTTGGCCCAGAGAGCCTTAATATTAGCAGCCCACTGCTAATGCTGAAATGAGTTCTCAGTATTTTCCTCTCCAACATGCAGCCTGAGACATAAGAAATGGTACAGCTTAGACATCCTCCCCAGGCCCCTTCCACCTGCACTAACTGAACGATAAGGGCAAAGGACTTAGAACCCCATGTGCCAACAAAGGATTTATTACCAGGTTTTTCATCTGGATGGACCACTTTTATTCCTAAATGGGAAAAAAGATTGTTAATTAATAATGTCAGCCACCATTAATTATTTTACTACTGTTCCTTCTCTAAGGTACTTTATTTGATTAGTTTCTTAACTAGTCTTAAAAGACAGAATTGGGGGATGGGCACATGACTAGAGGAGGAAGGGTTAGCAAATGTCATTATACTCAATGCATATTATGTAGAAACTTAACTGTGTCAACTTGATGGTAGGAACTGGAGGGGGGACATAGTGGACAAGAATGGAAGGGGTGACACTGACCAAGAAGCACTGTACTCACAACTTCATAAGGCATTGTTACCCCTTCGTACAACTACTTAACAACAACAACAATAATAATAAAAAAGACCAATACCTTCATTTGATATATGGAGAAGCAGAGTCACAGAAGTGAAGTAACAAAGAGCCATAGCAAAGTGCATAGAAGAGACTACTGAAGCAGCCTACACAGCCCATGTTCACCCCCACAGGCAACCCTAGAGACTCCCACTACACACACTTGCACACTCGGGTCCAGAAGGCAAACATGGGATGTCAATCAGTATCATAACTTTCAAGCTGTGGCCAGGACGTAGAACACCTGTCTAGCCAGGGCAAGGTCCTGAGTTCAAACCCCAGTATCACAAAAGATAGAGAAGCCGTGGCCAAATGCAGCCACGCATACGACTCTGGGTGAGAGTAAAAGAATTGGTTCATTAAACTGTTGTCACTATGCTGGTTGTGCACACAGCATGCAATTTCCACAGACAGCAATGCCAAGCAATGCTCAGCCCAATGGGCATGGAAGTAATTTAGATTTCTAGTTATGAAAAATCTGATTTAACAGATGATCATTCCCATACTTAATAAGAGCTACACAAAATTACTTTCACTTTTTGACTACATGAACTGAGGAGAAATGATTGTAAGCACTAGATTGGGGCTCACACACCTCAAAGTTTGCTATTTTATATTCCTTCAGATACTCCCATGAGATAAATATAACAAGTGCAGACCACATTTGAAAGACAATTCTGAGGCCAACCCCCCCCCCAAAAAAAAAACTGTCATCACTAACCAGAGCTCTGGTGAATATTCATATTTTTTGTCTTTCATACTTCTCTTGTATCAGGAAGAAAATAAATTTGGGGAGCTCCCCCCCCCCCCCGCCCACACACACCTGTAAGCTGAGTTCTATGGTTCATCTGAGGAGCTGCCTGGAGTCACTGCTCAGTTGCTCTGGCCACACAAGCTTAAGGCCTTCCAGTGGCCTGCCCTCAGCTCCAGCCCTAGCTTTTAAAAACAGCCATTTTTCCAGTCATATAGTAAAGGTAGATTAACTCTGTTGTGGTGCACATGGCCAAGTTAAGAGATGTGGGTGCTTCACTGCCTGATGCGGTGGTGAGCACAGTTCTGAGGCTCCTCGCTTGTCTGACAGTGACACCTATCTGTACATTTTGAATCTTCCCCCCCGCCGCCTACCATTGCTTACCAGGTAGTGGAAAAGGTTCTGCAACTGTCATTCCTAAATAATAAAGAAATGTTCGATGACTTGAAGTTTGCGCTGGTTAAGTACAAATTTTAAATTCTTATATAATGAGCTCAAGACATACATGTCCCACTGAACATGGCAGTTTGCAGAAGTTCTGATCGAAAACTTCTGGCTCCATCAACCCTCATGGTGCTCAGAGGAGTTTTCTGCCACAGCCCTGCCCTGTGCCCATGCTATGCCAATACTGTTGTGTGACCTGGAGACACTGAAGCCAATAGCTGTGCAGAGCACTGAGGTTCCTGCTGAGCATCTTTACACACAGAAAGGGGAGGGTGCTGCTCCACCGCTTCCTGGCCCCCAGCCATGCCTCCCCGCCCCCCAGGCCAACTTCCTGCCTACGAGGCTGCACGGGAATGGAACACTCTCCACACTCTTCCTCAGCTAAATCTTTCTGGAGATTGCCCCACAGGATAAGGGACGTAACAGGGAAGGTTGTTTCTTGACAATATTCTCTTCAATGCCAAGTACACTCATGCTCATGTGGGGCTCAGAGACTCAAGGAAAAGCTTTCTTACCAGGTGCTTCGGTAGATTCAAGACTTTTCTTATCTAAAGACAGAAAACATACAATTAATCAGTGTTAATCCGTTATCTTATCCTGCTTACACTCCTCTTGATACTTCCCAGGTTCCCACTTCAGAAAAATAGAAGACAGACAGCAACAACAAAACACAATCCAGACTTATCATCTTCCAACTCCTTAACTAGACTGGAAGCGCATCAGTGATCTGGCCCGTACCTCCAGCAGCCTTATCTTCATGAGGCAGCCCTTGAATAGGGTCTAAAGGCAACAGGCCTGGGGTGACATCTGTGTTTGGTTAAACTCCATTGTCATCACTGCTATTAGCTCTAGGCTACTCAGTCCTTTTTTTTTTTTTTTTTTTTTCTGTCCTAGGGTTTGAATCCAGGGTCTGGGCACTGTCTCTGGGCTTCTTGCTTCTTCATCTCAAGTCTAACACTCTACTACTTAAGCCACAGCTTCACCTTTTTTTTTTTTTAAAGTAGTTTATTGGAGGTAAGATTTTCTTGCCCAGTTTGGCTTTGAACCATGATCCTCAGATCTCAGCCTCCTGAGTAGCTAGGATTACATGCGTGAGCCATGAGCACCCAGCAGTACTCAGTCCATATAAACTTATTTATGCTAAAGAAACAACCTGTAGGCTTATAAGTGAGGATTAAAGGAACTACTACATAAAAATGCTTGGTGCAGGGCTGGAAAGGTGGCTCAGTGGTAGAGCGCTTGCCTTGCATGCCTGAGGCCCTGGGTTCGATTCCTCAGCACCACATAAGCAAAAAGAAAAAAGCCAGAAGTGGCGCTGTGGCTCAAGTGGTAGAGTGCTAGCCTTGAGCTGAAGAGCTGAGGGACAGCGCCCAGGCCCAGAGTTCAGGCCCCAAGACTGGACCTCCCCCCCCCCCCCAAAAAAAAAAAAATGCTTGGTGCATCAAATGGAAAACAGAAACAATATGTCGAGCCCTCTGACTCAGCTTAATTCACAAACACTGGTGGCTCAGTAGCATTCTTAGTCCTAAGAATCGTCATGTCTTTCTCCAACTCAGTTTCAGATTATGACATTAAGCCCTGGCTCATTGCTAATCTAATTCTTTTTTTGTAAATAGCCTGCCAGAGTCTCCTTCATTATCAATTAACCAGACAAATCACTCCACCAACTGAGAATGGCCATGTACCACCACCCATGGAATGGGGGAAGAGCTATCACACTGTCAGTCATGTCTGTGAGGTTTCCTGTGCTGAGGTTAATCTATAATCTATAAATCTAACTTTTTTTTTTTAGGTCTGGTCATGGGGCCTGAACTCTGAGCCTGGGTGCTGTCCCTCAGCTCTTCAGCTCAAGTCTAGCGCTCTACCACTTGAGCCACAGCGCCAGTTCTGGCTTTTTTCTTTTTGCTTATGTGGTGCTGAGGAATCGAACCCAGGGCCTCATGCATGCAAGGCAAGTACTCTACCACTGAGCCACCTTCCCAACCCTCTATAATCTAACTATATAATATATATAACTGTAATCTAACTTTATACTTGGCTTTTAATAGTGGAAATCTCAGAAAGCCCTGAGAAATGGCAGGGATAAAATGACACTCTAAACACTGAGCTACACCACAGCTCCTATTTTCTTTAAATGTTTGCAAAACTTAATTTTTTGAATTTAGTATTATATAATGTAAATACAATTTAGCACTATCCAGCTGTTAAACACTAAAGTTATTTCTAAAATGCTGCTAGTGTGTAACGAACACTGTGATAAAACTTTTTATGCATAAATATTTGTTTATATCTTAATTTCCTTGTAGGGGGCTCAAACTCTGGGCCTGGGCGCTGTCCCTCAGCTCTCCAGCTCTACCACTTGAGCCACAGCACCACTCCCAGTTTTCTGGTGGTTAATTGGAGGTAAGAGTCTCATGAACTTTCCTTCCCAGGCCGGTCTGAACTGCGATCCACAGATCTCAGCCTCCTGAGTAGCTAGGATTACAGGCGTGAGCCACCAGTACCCAGTGGTATACAAATTTTTAAAGTTGGTGACACATGCCCTTGAGAAAAATTTGTACTAGGGGTGAGAATAGAGCTTTTGCTGAGCATGAGCAGGCCTGGCTTTCATCCCGTGCCCATACCATAGATAAAAAGAAAAAGGAGTTTTCCCAATAATTACACCAGTCATTTATGAAAATGTTTCTGTCTCAGCATACTTAAGGACATTTGAATTATACTAAAAAATAGAAACTTTGAGGTGAATTATAATTTGAAATATACTTTGGAAGGTACTAAATAATAGTGTTAATAGTATCTGTTATTCAGATTGCTGGAGGCAGACATAAATACACAGAACCACTTTAATTTAGGAAAACACCACATTATTTGTTATGCTCTGGTTTGCACGATAGGTCACAAAAGTTTGTGGAACAGTCAATCTGTTTTCTTAGATGACTTAAAGATTGTTAGAGAAGACATAGAGCTGCTGATAAGGAATTTTGTCTTTTATAGCAAACTACCATGACAGGCCTAACTGTTCCTACTAAATGCAAATCCCTAGAATTTAAGAAAATGTCTTACCCTCATCTTCAAGCGTCTGGCTTTCCTCACCTAAGGTACAAACAAACATATTTATCACATTACTGCTTTATTATATATTTGCGAAACAACTAGAAAAGATTCATTTTTTAATTAACAGCATACTGACCAGGGATGTAGACATAGATGGGTTGAATATCATCTGAAAAACAAATATTTGTTTTCATTACATGCTACTATGTCATGTGGGTCGTGTGTGTGTGTGTGTGTGTGTGTGTGTGTGTGTGTGTGTGTGTGTGTGTGTGTTGTATGCATGTGTACTGGTCCTAAAGCTTGAACTCAGGGTCTGGGTACTGTCCTTGAGCATTTGTGCTCAATGGTAGCATTCTACCACTTAAGCCATAGTTGCATGGACTTTCCTACTTGGGCCAGCTTTGAACCATGATCCTCACCTCTCAACCTTCTGAGTAGCTAGGATTACAGCTTGTTTAAAGGTAGGATTACCCTCCTGTACTGTGGGCTATCGTGAGAGTGATGATATGTTTTCTGCATACCTGGGACTTTGCAGTGTTTGAGTGAATAACTATGAATAACCACAGGAAGGGGTTCCGGGGGAGTATGCATAGGCAGAATTCTCCACTGGAGAATAGTAATGGTAACGTAGCCACCTTATTCTATCTCAATTAGGCACCTTTGCAAACTGATCCTTACAGTTATTACCTAACATTGTGAATTCTATTTTAAAACAAAAACAAAAACGGAAGTGGTGCTGTGGCTCAAGAGGTAGAGTGCTAACCTTGAGCTGAAGAGCTGAGGGACAGCACCCAGGACCAGAGTTAAAGCCCCATGATCAACCAAAAAAAAAAAAAAGTTATTATCTCTGGGAAGGTGGCTCAGTGGTAGAGTGCTTGCCTTGCATACATGAGGTTCTGGATTTGATTCCTCAGCACTACATAAGCAGAAAAAGCCGGAAGTGGCGCTGTGGCTCCAGTGGTAGAGCACTAGCCTTGAGCTGAAGAGCTGAGGGACAGCGCCCAGGCCCAGAGTTCAGACCCCATGACCGACATAAAAAAAAAAATTATGACGGAGACACTACTAGAGTCAGCTACTGCAGGACTGGAAATTAGAGATACACTGCTTCCAGAACCTGCTAATTTGTAATCTTTAGTTTTCAAACCCAGAAAGTCTGGTGGTCTTTAAATAACAACAATGTGTGGGCCGCGGATTTTCTGATTCTGTTCCTTCATTAGAAGTGGTATAATGTTTATTCTGCAAGAAGTAATGCTTTTCTCTAGGCTGGCTTCAAAAACTAAGATAGGCTATCTGAAGGCTATGCAGCAGGCCCCCAGTCAGTGGGGGAGATGGTAACTCTGCTACCCTCTTTCTTCCCTGTAAGAGCTCCTTCACAGTTTTAATATTCAATGTATGTAACTTGAGGGGTAGGTGGGGCTAGGACAGGAGGATGATGGGAGGGGCGATATTGATCAAGAGGAATTGTACTTATAAACAGACATGTTGAATGGAAACCCTTTGTACAACTACTTAAAGATAATTAAAAAATTAAAGTAAAAAGATAAAATAAAAAGGCCCTTCACATACCTGAGTCCCTTAAGATGAGGCTCTGAGATAATAGCTTTACCCACTGCCCCGACCCATTTTCTGAGGGTACAGCCCTTGAATAAACTTCATTTCCTCTCCACTGACTCTTACCTCCTGAGTGTTAGCTTTCCAGAGGAAGGAGGATGACTTGGGTACAGAAGCAAAAGCAAAATTTACCCTTGAAACAATGGTGGCTGACAGTAGAAGAGTACAATGGTGGCCCCTCTCCGAATCAATAACACTGAGAAGATTCCCATTAGCGCTACAGAGATAATTGCTGAAAGTATATTTTACCTGGATTCTTGAGACAACTTTCACTTTTTAGTCCTGAAACATAAAGATAAAACTTTAGATACAATATAGTCTAGTAAAAAATTTTAATTAATCTGTGCTTACTGTTAATTGAATCTGCCAACTCAGACTAGTATCAGACTAGTATCAGACTAGTATCAGACTCATAACTTAGTGGAATACAAATTTCAGGAAAAAAATACTTTTTAAAAATTCATCCAGCCACCAAATAGTGTATGACTTTTGATAAAATACATACCGCCTTTTCTTTGTATCCACGGAAACAGCTACAAAGCGTATCTTTTCTAACTAAGATGACTGCAGTTTTATGAGAAAGTGACTTTCTCAAAGGACCCTTTTAAGCTGACCCATCTAAGCTGGACTTTAATTTCTGACCCACAGCAACTGTAAGATAATAAATGTTTTAAGTTGCTAAATTTCAGAGTAATCTGTTATGTGATAACACATGACTAATACAATTTAAAGACTAGTTATTTGTCTACACTACAACCACTCCTCACACTCATCTAGGTGTTACTAAGAAGATATTTTATAGATATGCTTGAAATCTAAAGTCAATTAACGAAGTAACGGAGATTATCAAAGATAATGTGTTAATGTGTTAGGTGATGGTGGCTTAGGCCTGTAATCCTAGCTACTCAAGAGGCTGAGATCTGAGGATCAAAGTTCAAAGCCAGCCCAGGCAGGAAAGTCTGTGAGACTCTTATCTCCAATTAACCACCAAAAAACCGGAAGTGGCGCTGTGGCTCAAGTGGTAGAGTGCTCACTTAGAGCTAAAATGCTGAAGGATAGCACCTAGGCAACCAACAAAAAAAGAAAAAGTTAATGTATTCACATCTGATTCAATCAACTTGAACACCCTAGAAGACGGGCTGATGCTTCTCAAAAGAAGAAATTATAGGATGGATGGTAAATAGTTTTGAAATGCACAACTATAAATGAAGGAGGCATAAAGAAACCTCAGTAAATGGGTACTCAGAAGGTGTTTGGGGGAACAGGGAAAGTAAAATATTTCCTATGAATATAAAGAACCAATAAAGCCTTCTAAATTGTCGAGGCACTGATTCCCAGTGGGGTTGGCATGTCACTTTCTGTCTTTGCTATGCAGACTGATGTCTAGACAGTTTCAGACAACAGTACAGAAACTGCTTCTCCTAGGAAATGCCAATGGGTGTCTGTCAGAACCAATAAAGATACATATATTTAGTAAGCTCTCAGGGTCTGAGAGCAGACTTAAAAGAAAGAAATCTTAGCTAGGTGCTGGTGGCTCAGGATTGTAATCCTATCTACTGAGGAGGCTGAGACTTAAAGATCACAGTTCGAAAGCAATCCAGGCAGTAAGGTCTGTGAGACTCTTATCTCTATTAAAACTACCAAAAGGGCCTGAAGTGGAGCTTTGGATCAAGTGGTAGAGCAAAAGAAGCTCAGGGACAGCACCCAGGCCCTGAGTTCAAGCCCCAGGACTGGCACCACAAAAAGAAAATGAAAAAGAAAAAAAGAAATCTTGGTAGCCCCATAGGTTTAGCATCTTTTGCCCTTTTGATGGCTTAGCAGAAAGCTTGCTCAGGAAGCCTCAATAAACTCAACAAAGTGGCAGACACAGCCTCTAGCTAGGTCCAGAGGCAGCTCCTTTCTAACAAGACTGCTTTTCAACTAGAAAGCATTCTTACTTCCTCCTCCCCTGGGTAAGATATATAAGAGTGTTACACAGCCTGCTCCTCCCTATAGAAACAGAGGTGTCTATATCCATCCTCTTCATTAAAATGATGAATTCAATCCAGGCCTCAGTAAGTAGCTCATGCCTGGAATCCTAAATACTTAGAAGGCTGAGATCTGAGGATTGTGGTTTGAAACCAGTCCAGGTAGGAAAGGCTATGAGACTCTTACCTCCAATAAACTACTCGGAAAAAAGGCAGAAGTGGTGCTGTGGTTCAAGTGATAGAGCCCTAGCCTTGAGAACAAAGAAACTCAGGGACAATGCCCAGACCTTGAGTTCAAGTCCCAGGACTGGCCTCCCACTTCAAAATGAATTCAGGAAATCATGTGCTTCACTCTCTCTGCTTACAAGTCTGATAAACCTGTCATATTTGCATTATAGGGTAGAGTACAGGGACTCCAGTAGGAATTTGTAATTCATTCACAGTTCTCCTAATCCAGTTGGTTTTTCAGTGAATCTTTTATTCATTTATTTTTATCATTTATCTTTATCATTTATTTATCTTGCTGGTCATGGGGCTTGAACTTTGCACCTGGGTGCTGTTCCTGAGCTCTTCAGCTTAAGGCTAGCACTCTACCACAGCACCACTTCTGGATTTTTCTGTTTATGTGGTTCTGAGGAATTGAACTCAAGGCTTCATGCATACTAGACAAGTACTCTACCACTGAGCCACATTCCCAGCCCAAGTGAGCCATTTTTACAAGGAGTTTAGCTTGATTATACAGCTGATATTCTACCTTTTTCAGGTTTTCTAGAAAAATAATTTCAAATCTGGTTAGCCTGCAGCAAATTTTACTTAGAGCCAGGTTCTGGTGGCTTATGCCTTTAATCCTAGCTACTCAGGAAGCTGAGATCTAAGGATCACAATTCAAAGCCAGCTCTGGCAGGAAAGTTTGTGAGAATCTTATCTCCAATTAACACCACAAAAAACCCACCAGTGAAGCTGCAGCTTAATTCATAGAGTATACAGCCTTGAGCAAAAAAGCTCAGGGTCTGTATCCAGGCCCTGAGTTTAAACGCTGGGACTGGCACACATTTGCACACATGCGCACACACAAACAAACAAAAGTACCCCTTTTAGAAACTCTCTTTTCTCATCCAGAAGCATAGTTACATACTACTCTAGGGAACACGATTCTGATTGAATCCCGAAGACTAGCCACCTTAAACAGTTCTGTTGTTGTGCTAGGCATGGAACACAGGGACTCTCTAAGGGTTGGTTCACATGTTATTGCTGATCCCCAGAAAGACAGCTTGGACCCTGCATTCCCCTTAGTTACCTGTAGGTGCCAGCAGAGGACTCCAGGCTACAGTTAAATTCCATATAAATAAATTCCAGTTCCACAGCTTCAATCAACATACTGTAGGGCAGAGGCTGATTTGGTCAGTGCTCATCAACAGACTAACCACAAAGTCTCCCTTTGTGGTTAGTCTGAACATTTAGCTGCTGTGTAGCCTCTGGCCATTTCCTTTCCCCTTGCATTAGTGAAAGCGTATTAACTCCATGTGGGTCTGAGCCCTGGCTCAGAATCAATCTAATGGCTGCATCTCTTTTATTCTACGCACAGATACAGTCTGTGGGTTTCACTGCCCACTGCAGCCCATCAAGTAGGCACCAGTGCTGTCCTTTGTACTCAGGACTTTTTTTTTGGGGGGGGGGGGGGGGAGGCCGGTTGTGGAGCCTGAACTCTGGGCCTGGGCGCTGTCCCTCAGCTCTTCACCCCAAGGCTAGCACTCTACCACTTGAGCCACAGCACCACTTCCAGCTTTTCTCTTTTTGCTTATGTGGTGCTGAGGAATCGAACCCAGGGCCTCATGCATGCAAGGCAAGCGCTCTACCACTGAGCCACCTTCCCAGCCCCAATGTACCCAGGACTTTTATCTAACCAATGCCTCCCTGGAGCATACAAAGAGATAGTTTCTGTCATTTCTACAACTTGGTTTCTGCTTAAGATAGACTAGTGAAAGTTAACATTGGGTGGAGGGGGGCGGAACCTGAGCTTGTAGTTTTTGCTGATTTCCACCACACAGGGCCACTAGCGCTCCTGAGGGAGGCAGAGTGCACAGGGTCCCTGCAGGGCAATAAACAAAATGTACTCTCCACCATTACCAGTAAACCTGACAAAATTGGGCATGTGCAGAAACAAATCACTGCCCAACCCCACCCAATGACCTGCCCTTCTGATTTTTGTTTCTTATTTTGATGTCAATCCTGGGGCTTGAACTCTAGGCCTGGGCAGTCTCTGAGCTTTATTGTCCAAGGACAGCACTCTACCACTTGAGCCCACAGATGCCCTTCCAGCTTTGTGATGATTAACAGGAAATAAGAGTCTCAGGGACTTTCCTATCCTATCAGAGCTGGTTTGGAACAGAGATCCTCAGATCTTAGTCTCGGGAGATGCTACATTACAAGATTACACGTGTGAGCTTCACCCAGCTCCACTCCTCTGTTTTGATCCCTCCATAAAAGGAGAGGAACTAAAGCTTTGCACTTCATTCTCAGCATCTTTATCTGCTGCTGGGGTGCACTTTCTCTTTTCTACAAACTTCACTGCAAATTGTGTCCCACTCCTTTAAGAACACATGGAATCAAGTTCCCAGGCCTCAGGAATAGGAGGCCCCCATCCCTGAGATAGCTCACCAGGTAACTGATGTCCTCGCACAAATTGAACTGAAGTGGTGCTCTATTACCTGAGGGGAGCCTGCTCCTTGCTCACCCTGCCCCCATACTCTCATGGGTGTAAGGTTTGGAGAAAGGAGACCTCCATGTGGCTGTTCAGGTAGACAAGACTTCATTGTAAGAACAGAACCAGCCAGACCACACCAGATGGAGGTGTGCAGAGGGGCAACTTCCAGCAGGGACAAAAGGTTCTATAGGGAGAGGGCAGGAGGAGATGCGGCCACAGCGGGTGTGGAAGTGACCTCAGAGGAAGCAGTGTCCTCAGAGTCTAGGGGACCTCCCACTGCCCCCAGGCACCAGTTTCCTGGGTTACAGGTGCTGGGCAGAGACTTCTAGAGAGGACCAAATTGTGCACAGAGGGAGAACAAAGGAGAAGGGGCCGTTTTTCCAAGTGGACCTAGCAATGAAGAGTGTTGTTACTTTGGGCAGCCTTTTTCTGTCTCACTTACTACATTTCACATCTTGTATGAGTTCTTCTCTTGGCGAGGTTAATGGCTGCCCTGACTTCCTGTGATGCCATCTCCACTACCTGTGGTCTCAGTTATCTGTGATCAAACCATCTTCCAAGAGAAAGAAAGCCTTCACATAATGTCCAATAGAGCATATTGTTATAATTATCAGTTGTTTTTATTTTATTTTGTTTTTTTGGTCATGGGCTTTAACTCTGGGCCTGGGCACTGTCCCTCAGCTCTTCAGCTCAAGGTTAACGCTCTACCACTTGAGCTACAGCACCACTTCTGGTTTTCTAGTGGTTTATTGGCGATAAGAGTCTCATGGACTTTGCTGCCCCGGGCTGGCTTTGAACCGCAATCTTGAGATCTCAGCCTCCTGAGTAGCTAAGATTACAGGCGTGACCCACCAATGCCTGGCTTGTTTTTAGTATCTTATTCATCTAACTTGGAAGTTAAACTTTGGCATCACATGTATGTATGTATAGGGAAATATATAGTACATATAGGATTTGGATTCAGGAATCCTGGGGTTCTTGGAACATAGCCCTCCAATAAGGAGATGGGGAATATGTAATTGGGCTTTGGCCAATTTTTGAGCTACTGTTATTTAAGAGAAACTTGAAAGAAGATGGGTGCCTACAATTAGTTCCTGTGAGCTAATTAATTAATTGGCTGGCTCTAGTGGGCTTGGTTTGGATCAAGTCCAATAAGTAGTTGGTTGGTCCTTTCAACATTAACTTACCCATTCCAGCCAGTCATGATGATACACACATGTAATCTCATACTCTGAAGCACAGGCAAGAGGATCACAAGTTTAAAGGTCAGCCTGGGCTACATGGCAAGTTCTTGGCCAGCCTGAGTTACCTGGTAAGACTGTGCCTAGATACAAAAACAAAGTGTGTTTCCACCCTCAGCCTCCGTGAGGAGTCACTTAAATGCTATTAAAATGTAGGACTAAAGCGAGACTAAGGAGGCATAAAATTTAAGGAGGTGCTAACTCTTAAGATCATTCAAGGGGCTGGGAAGGTGGCTCAGTGGTAGAGTGCTTGCCTTGCATGCATGAGGCCCTGGGTTCAATTCCTCAGCACCACATAAGCAGAAAAAGCCAGCAGTGGTGCTGTGGCTCAAGTGGTAGAGCACCAGCCTTGAGCTGAAGAGCTGAGGGACAGAGCCCAGGCCCAGAGTTCAGGCCCATGACTGACAGAAAAAAAAAAAGAAGGAAAGAAAGATCATTCAAGTGCAGGTGGAATAAGACCCTGAGAGTGAGTGCTTCCTTAAAGATTGCCCTCCTCTGCACCTAGATGGCCAGCCCCAGCCCCAGCCCCAGTCCCAGCCCCAGCCCCAGCCCCAGCCCCAGCCCCAGCCCCAGCCCCAACCCCAGCCCCAGCCCCAGCCCCAGCCCCAGCCCCAGCCCCAGCCCCAGCCCCAGCCCCAGCCGCAGCCCCAGCGGGCTGAAGGCTCCCCAGCACTTCCCTACTATTGTTTTCTCACAGTACTTCAGGCACACAGTCAAGGCAGAAAAGCCTATCCATCCAGTATCTCTCTGAGGCCAACACAAGGGATCACTGCTTGACCCAGCAACAACAGATTTGGGTTCAGCTATCCAACCATACTCCCAAGGCTAACTCCTCACCAGTTTGCTGAGTTTTAGAGAAGAATGAAGATAGTGAACACAGCATAGTGTCTGAAGCAGGACAACCCCAGACACAGGTCAACACAAGTCCTCACAATCCTTTAGGAATATTCAAGTATTCTTCCCCACACCCCCTAACATCTCAGTTACAAGGAAATAAGATTATTTAAGGATGCAGGAGCCTCCCTAGTTTAATGGTCTAGACATTACAGAACTGAATTGGTCCAAGAGTCCTATTCATCTCCCTGTAGCTGACCTGGACACACAGCACCACACTCAGGAAAACCTAAAACTACAGCTCTCCCCACCCCAAGTATTTATAGTTCATTCATAATCCTCCCAGCTCAGATGCTCTTTACCAATCTAGCATTTTGTTTACTCTCAACAGTGTTGATGGTTACACCGCTGCAAATTATAGAGGAAACCATGATAGATCAACAGAAGGCCATTTCCCTAAGAGAAAGAGATTTGATTAACCCTTTACTCACATACATCAAGACATAAAACCTTTGGGTGTTATACCTTTGGGACTAAACAAAACATCCTAAACCTTCCAGAAGAAAAGAACAAGTCTTGGGCTAGTGGATGTAGCTCAATGGCGAACTGCTTTTCTAGAATGTACAAGGCCCTAGGTTTGATCCCTAGCACCATAAAACAAAACAACAAAAAATTCCCATAACAGGTGTCACTGAAAAGTTTAGTGACTAGAATAGAGATGTACTTTTAACAACAGCTCCAGAATGCAGAAATCACTCAAGGGACATCTTTCAAATTCCAAAGAAAAATAATTTCTAAAACAGAAGTGCAAATCTACAAAAACTATCATTCAGGCTTAAAAGTAGATTTTCAGCCTTAGAAAAGTTTCCCCAATGTACCATTTCTGAGAAAACGTCTGCAGACCCTCCCTGCTGCCAGTACTTTTGTACTTTTGCCAGTACAAAATAGTAATGGAAGACAGAGGTACAAATCCAAGACACGGGATCTTTCACAAGGGAGAACAAGTCTCCGAGTGGTAGTGTGGAGAGATCTCAGGATATTTTGCAGAGTTGCATGTTAGGAGCAGCCCGGGAGGGGTACGGGGTACATTCAGGGGAGAATGGGAGCAGGAAAAGAGAAGAACGAAAATGAGGGACAAGAGGCAATCTGATTTATTTAAATGTATTATGAGATTTCTGTCAAAGGTCTTTGAGGTAAATTAATTATAGGATATACAAAGCCAAAGAAAGAAACAAAACTAACTAACCCTGGGAGAAAGAGGTACTTAAGCATGGCAAACAGCTCTTGGTTTAGCTGATTGGTCTTGACTCCACTGGGAGAAGTGGGGTGGGGGTGGGGGGGATGCATATGTTAGGAAAGAGGATGGTAGTTGTCAAATATATTGAATAAACTGACCTAACAATCATTTCCTTCCTCTCGCTCTCCTCGCCTTACTCCTCATCTTCTTTTGAGGAGGAGCTCCTTATGTATCTCAGGCTGCCCTTGTTCCTTCTCCTGACTCTACCTCCTGAGTTCTGGTATGATGGGCATGTGCCACCATGCCTGGTCCCATAATAGCCATTTCTAATTCTCTTCTGCTTCCTGTACACTTGAAAGCTAACAAGCTAATTAATTATCCCTTGCCTTCCCAAGACTTTCTTGTAGCTATGAGTGACCAAGAAACTTTGCTCTTAAAGCTTTTTCTCAAAAGCCTTTAGTAGACTTTACTTTTTACTAAATTGGTAGCTCTGTCTATCACCCACTTTTTTGCTCTAGAAGTGGACTGATCCTAGACAGGCAACAGTTCATACTGTTGCATGAACCCACAATCCAACACTGGAGGAACAGGAAGACAGGAAGAGCCTGATTTACTGATGATGGAGATGAGCCACTGAATTAGATAGTCTAGCTCTACACTGATGAAAACGATCAGTCAGGTTTTCTGTTGAGGAGGAAAGCAATGAAGGCTTCTTATCAGAAACATGGAACATGAGGACAAAATAGGTCCTTTAGTGGGGATTCAAGAGACATGTTTAATTTTTTAAAATACACAACTGAATGCTGAGTGAAGCATGCGATTCACTCAGTTAATACTTGAAAAAATAAAATAATTAAAAATGGACACCATGGAGGAGACAAAGCCGGAGATAGATGGGGCAGGGACTGTTACATTTCATAATAAATTATATATCATAAACCTTACATCATAAACCTACAGTTTGTCCACACCAGCAGTATTGACAATTAGGGCTAGATAATTATTTGCTCTCTTTGTGGGTGGGGCTTAGCTGACTCTACCCATTATATGCAATAGCAATCCCACCTACTCCCCAGTTGGAACAATGTTTCCTCTTTCTTCCAGACCACAGCCAAAAGACCCTGCAGGATAAACTTGCCTGTTTGAAAACTACTGCCCTATGACAGTGCTGTTTGATTTTTTTTAAGTTTTATTCATACTTTTAGTACGATGTGATGGCTAACCACACGCAACAGGGGAGTATGGAAACTGCCTCATTTCTCTTTCAAACACCTCTCTCTTTTACCTGACCCCTTCCTGGGTCCCACCCCAACTCCTGCCCTCCCAGAGAGCGAGACACAGATACACTTACCACCTAGAAATGAGCACTCATAATGGCTGCAGGTCTTGTTTGTGCTTTGAAGGATAAGATTCTTTCCAGTCCCTTCTTGTGACACTTGAAAAACCTCATTCAACGGTATTAAAACAATTCTTTCACTTTTTTTATCCACAAATTTCTCCACGGCAACTCCAAAGCATGTATGGATGGTTAGCACAACGTACTGGTCATTAGCTGCCTGAGGTTTGGCTGAATATGCCAGCGTGAAGTTGCCCAGTCTGGCTTGGTGTAGAGCAGCAGAGGTAAAGGTGGTGTCCGGACTTGATGCGTACACCACGGCTTTGTAACTCTCTTCACAGCGCCTTCGCAGCAACTGCAGTGCTCTGGTCAGGTAGAAATGAAAAGCTTTGAACTGGAAGTCATAGATATACTCTTTCCGAGATTTCCCAGCTATCTCCACAGCTTTGTTGAACAGATGATAAAAGGGAGTTTGTTCTTGAGCTGCAGAAATGTATGCCACTAAGGCTATCCCATGGTTATCCTTAAAACTCCTAGGGACAGAGACCTGAGTCTTCAGGGCTTCCCATTTGGTTTTGCCATTTTCCCACGCAGCCTGGAAGAGCTGATGGTTTGCTTTCTCCTCCTCCAGCAGTTGGGGGACGTATTTCATTTCCATCCTGTTAGAACATTTCAGGTATTCATCATCAAATGCATTGTCAGCCATGTCTAACATCTCAACCTTCACCTTCAAAAGAAAAGGAAAGTAATACTCTTAAAATAAGATATTTAGTGCATATAATTTTCTCTCGTGTTATTAGCCCTACCCTCTCTTCCCCAGCAGAGAATCTCTCCTTACTTTAACCAACTTTGGATATAATTTTGATGAAGTATGTTCCATGGCTACTGATAACTCTTCTCAGCTATGACATTTATAAAAAAGAGTAAATGTCAATGAACGACAGGTTTGTGGAGGGTTGTTCCTATAACTCTTTTATCTTAACTCTGTGGTGTAGAGCAAATTGAAGTACTTAGTGGCCCTCCTAGCTTTGAACAATATCCTCAACTCGATGACCGCAAGCCCACAAGACTGGGAGGATAATGTAAAATATTGTGTGTGAATACTGTACATGACAAATAAATACCTAATCACAAAAGCATCTTTTATGTTTGAGAATGCGCCCTCCTTTAGCCATATAGCTGGGGTAGAGTTTATTCTTGGTATTTCTGAGTATAAGCAGGTGACCAAGGCCCACCAATCCAAACATTCCGAAACAAGCAATCGACACTTTCATCCTCTAAAACCATAAGCTCTCCAGGCAGCACCAGCTTGGAGCCTTCAGTAATTATTCTTTTAGTCTGGGGGTGGGGGTGGGGGGGAGGTAATGTGCAAGGGGGAGGGGCAAAAATTCTTTTAAAGTAAACCAGTATCATTTCCCTACTATTCCTTCTCTCCCTAAAAATCAAACTTCTTGAAGGAAATATCTATCCTTGCCATCTCTACATCATTTTCCACGTTCATCTCAACCTTCCCCATCCTGCCTCTGCCGCTGACCCCATTCCTCCATCCATGGAGCTCCCAGGAAAGGCTTTTCTTCTTAGGTCCCTTTGCGTGTCCAGCGTATTACAGCTGGCCACTAAATGTTGGCATTTCTCTCTCTCTCTCTCTCTCTCTCTCTCTCTCTCTCTCTCTTCCCTCATTCTCTCTCTCTCTCTTTTTGCCAGTCCTGGGGCTTGAACTCAGGGCCTTGGTATGCTCTCTGAGCTTCTTTTGCTGAAGGCTAGCACCCTACCACTTGAACCACAGTGCCATCTCTGGTTTTTTCTGTGTATGTGGTGCTGAGTAATTAAACCCAGGGCTTCATGCATGCTAAGCAAGCACTCTACCGCTAAGCCACATTCTCAGCCCAATGTTAGCATTTCTCAAGGCCACTTGTTTTCTAATTTTCAACTCTATCCCTGAGCAATTTATGCATATGCTTTCATATCATCTAAATCCTCTGACCTGTCTTAAAATTGCCAGGTCTATATATTAACTACCTACTTAATACATCCATGTGAATGCCCAACCAAAGGTCCTTTGGATCTAGCATGGCAATGCAGTCCCTAACACCATCTCTTCATTTGCAAAGTATTACCAGATACTCCTTCTCACCCATCCTCTGTAGGCACCCCATTTGTGAGTCCTAGGCAAGCATTATCAGAATTCTTTCCATATCCCAGCCAGTTAATATTCATGGAAAGTCTGTGAGATAGGTAGTATCATTAGCCACTGCCACTGTTAATGTGTGTGTACCGGTCCTAAGGCTTGAACTCAGAGCCTAGGCACTGTCTCTGAGCTTTTGTGCTCTAAGCTGATGCTCTACCACTTGATCCAGAGCTCCACTTCTGGCCTTTTGATGGTTAAAAGGAGATAAGAATCTCATAGACTTTCCTGCCTGGTCTGACTTTGAAGCATGATCCTTGGATCTCAACTTCCTAAGTAGCTAGAATTACAGCCACCAGTGCCTGGCAGCCATTTTTTTTTTAATGAGGAAACTGGAGAATGATGGAAGAAATGACTTTGATCAAGACACATTGTACACATTAACGGACATTTTAAACTGAAACTCCTTTGTACAACCATTGGAAAATAATACATATGAGGAAACTAAGACCCAGAGAGACTGAGTCTTATATGGAATTGGGACTTGACTCTGGTCAGTCTTGCTGCTAAGCTCTTGTCCTCAGAACCAAAATGTTCTGTTGCTTTTAAGAGCATCTTCACGTTTCTAATGATGAAGACCACTGTCACTTACATAGCATTTTTTTTTTTTTGTCAGTCATGGAGCTTGAACTCTAGGCCTGGGTGCTGTCCCCTAGCTCTTTAGCTCAAGGCAAATGCTCTACCATGAGCCACACCACGGACTTTCCTGCCTGAGCTGGCTTTGAACCGTGATGCTCAGATCTCACCCTTCTGAGTAGCTAGGATAACAGGGGTAAGCCACCAGTGCCCGGCTTATAATAGCACTTTTAATAGAGCATAATTTTGTCTTCCTAAGAGTACTTTATATGCATGTATAAAATAAGGAAACCCATTAAAATGTGAAAAACTAATAGAGGAGATGAGTTTGGTTAAAACAAGTGTATAAATATCACAATGAGACCCCTTATAAAAGTAATATATGCTAATATACATTACTAAACCCTCATGGAACATTAGATAATTATGAATACCACTGGGAACCTGGGACAGAATTATAAGTTGTCTTGTTGAATAGCCACAGAGTATTGTGTTAGGGAAATCACTGAGATCCCTGTACTCCTGGGTTTGTAGGTCAAATTCTCCACATGGGAATTTGAGCTTCAGGGGATCAAATCACTGCTGTCTCAGAGTCAAGAAATTCACCTTCCACTGCAGCACAGAATGTACCAGAGTTCAGCTTGGCACCAATGCCTGATTTATCTTTAAGACTTGATAAGATATCAGACCCTGAAACCATTTCTCACATCCCTCACATCATATTAAGAGTTAATCTGGTATGTTTCGAACTTTTCCTTATGCTTTAAACTAGCATCCACATGTCTAATTTTAGACGTCAAATTTTTCTGGCCAGATACCACTGCTGATTGTGTGTTCTGAACAGTATGTTCCTTGAACAGTGATAAAACTCACTATTCAGAAACAGCTGAATGGTTGCTAGTAAAACAGGTACAAAAGTATAGAGGAACAAGCTGATTATTCTTTTCTTCCTTTGATTTATCCACTGAGGATTGATGAAATCCAACTTGCCAGATATGTAATTAAAAATACGTGGAAATTACTTAAGTATCACAAAACATTAATAAAACAAATACACTAAAATTGTTTTGCAAAAAGAAGACTGCAAATGCAAATTAAAGCCATAAAGAAGCACCACTTCATGGCCACTTAGATACTTGAACAAAACTATGGCCTATGCCACATGGTGGCATGCGCCTGTATGATGCTGCTTGGAAGGTGAGAGACTGGGGCAATGTGGTTTGAGGCCAGCTCAGGGGAAAAGGTCAGAGAGATCCCTCTCACTAACAGTCCACACATGTAATCCCAGCTAACTGGGAAACAAAGGTAAGGAGGGAATCGTTGTCTCAGGCTAGCCTGTGGGGGTGGGGAGAAGCAACCAAAGAACAACAACAAAACCCCCACAAGACTTGGTCTAAAATTAAAAAAAAATGACTAGGGTATGGCTCAAGTGGTAGAGCACTTATGTAACAAGCATGAAATCCTACCAGTACTGCAAAAGAACACACAAACAAAACCCAGGAAAATAATGAGTAACACAGGCTGCAGAAAATCCCAATACGTTGTATAACACCACAGAAAACACTTTGGCAGTAGCTCAGAAAAGGTAATCATAAAGTTACTCTAGGTCTGTAACAAAGAGAGTTTCAACTTATGTTCACAATAATGAGTAATTCTGTCACCACGGAATGGAAAGCATAACCTCAGCTCATCTATTTTCCCTTAACTATATATTTCCTACATATATGAGTGAATTACTGTGTAATGCTATCAAATAATGCTTACATTCTTCCCCTTGATATGTCTGTAATTGTAAAAAAAAATGATGAAAGAAAAATTATGCCTGAAGGAGAAAGGGAAAAAGAAAGAGGATTAGTAATTTTGAGATCCACTGCAACTACTGATGAAACCAGCATAAAGAGCTTGAAGCAACAAGGCTCTGAGAGGGGGGAGAAGCCGGCTCTGCTGGAGGAAGGTGAAGTCCTAGCTAGCAAGAGGGAGCTGGGCTAATGAAGGTGAAAGAGGATGGATACTGTCCAAACAGATTGTCTGCAAGTATGAAAAGAGACCAATAAAACCTCCTGAAATTGTATTAGGAAGCCTGGTGGAAGGGAGGACTGATTGGAATATAATATATACATGTGTGGAAATCTTCCCCTGTACAGCTAATGTATGATAATAAATAAAAAAGAAAACCCATGCTCACCCAAAAACCTTTGCACAAATTTCTTAGCAATACTTTTTCCAATAGCCATAAAGTGGAAGTAACCCAAGTGTCCCCCAATTGATGAATGGATAAACGAAATGTGGTACAGCCAGACAGTACCATTTTTGTGCAACAGTAAAAAGAATGAGCACTAATATGTCATGCTAAGCATAAGAAACTAGATATAAAAAAAGATATAAAAGAAGATCCATTGCAAGACTCCATTCAAATAAAATGTCCAGAGTAGGTGAATCCATGAGACACAAAGTAGCTTGCTGGTTACCAGGGAGTGGGGAGAGAAGGGAATTAGAGCAGACTACCAAGAGGTGAAGGGGTTCTTTGCAGGATGATGATGTTATGAAAACAGATAGTGGTGATAGTTTTACAACATAGTGAATACATAAAATGAATGGAATCTAAGTTTAAAATGATGAAATTTATGGCATGCGAATTATAATGCAACTTAAACAAAACAGAATGTTCAAGCCACAGAACACACAATGATTCTCTAGACAAAGGATCAAAATGTCAAATTCAAAAATGGGTAACATTTTAAGAATTTAAGGTATTTTAAAGAAGGCTCTTGACCAGAGCACAAATAGTGGTGATATAACACCTAAAAGCCAAGTGATACCTGTTTCATATTATAAAAATACATTAGAGATTGTTTAAAATTGTTAAAAGGAAAGCATAATTCCTTTTTCCTTCTCCCTTCACCCTTTGTTTTGTGATACAGGGTTTAAATTCAGGAACTTGTCAGACAAATGGGTATTCTACCACTTGAATCATGAATCCAGACCCCAAATTAATAAAGTATGTATCAGGAAAAACAAAAACAAAAAACTATGAGGAACTGGGTGTGCTGGCACAGACCTGTAATCCCAGCTACTCACAAGGTATAGATGGTGAGGACCAGGGTTCAAAGTCACCCTGGGGCAAAATAAAAGGTTGGGGGGAGAGCCCACCTCCTATTTCAATGAACAAGCAGACATGGTGGCATTCTACCTAGGGACCCAGCTTCCAGGGAGGAAGAAGTGGGAAGACCAAGGTCTGAGGGTAAAAACAAAAGACTTTACTTGAAAAATAACCAAAGCCGGGCGCCAGTGGCTCATGCTTGTAATCCTAGCTACTCAGGAGGATGAGATCTGAGGATCATGGTTCAAAGACAGCCCAGGCAGGAAAGTCTGTGAGACTCTTATATCCAATTAACCACCAGAAAACCAGAAGTAGTACTGTGGCTCAATTGGTAGAGTGCTTGCCTTGAGCTGAAGAGCTCAGCGACAGTGCCCAGGCCCAGAGTTCAAGCCCCATGATTGACAAAAAAAAAATAACCAAAGCCAAAAAAGAGCTGGGGACATGGCTCAAGTAATAAGAGTGTCTAGCAAACTCAAGGCCCTGAGTTCAAATACCAGTATTGGTATTTGAGGAAATAAAAAACAAAATTATACACACAATCTATGAGACTTAACAGAATCATTGGCTTAATACAAAAAAAATGTAAGCAATGCAGCATTACCTTAATTGTAAAAGAAATATATATATATATATATATATATTCATTATTTGTACCAACATGTAGAGACATATAACAGTATTAACTTTCAAAGCAATGTAAGAAATATACTGTGTATGGCATAGACTTTTTTTGTAAATTATATACACACACAGAGAAAAGCCAAAAAGGCAATATATCACAATATATCAGTCTTTCAGAAATGTTATGGATGATTTTTGCTGTCTTCTTTGCTTAATTTTAATTTTTCAACTTTCTATAGCATACACACACACACACACATACACACACACACACACACACACACACGTAAAATGGAGGAGGGGAAGCTACTTGCAACACATCCATTTACCTATCCATCCTACCTTCTCCTATTTCCACACAGATGCCCCAGCAATGTTATATCAAGTTTTCATTCCAGAGGCCACATGCTTCTCATTCTCAACATTACCTGGAAGATGTCCATTAGAATCAAGGCTGCCAGCAGCTTGGTGACCATTTCAAAACGGCACATCTTCATTTTTCTCCTCTAAATGAAGAGGGGGAAAAAAAAAACCAACTCCATTTCAGTAGACTTACTAAAGAAGTTTAGTGGAACAAAGATACTGTAGATATTTTAATTATAGACAGACATTTTGATGGTCAGGAAGTGACCATCTGTAAGTAGCTAATGACTACAAATGCCATTAAACCATTAGGTTTAAACCATCCAGAGATAAGGAAATACAAATCCAGACAACTTGGGTGATCTGCTCAGAATGAACTCTGTCCATTTCTGTACTCCTCTAGACTCTTCTACTAGAGTTGCTAGGAGATACACTGTTTCCCTATCTATGAATGTTCCTCAGGAAACCATACAATCAAACTATAAGCACACAGTCTCAACTTGGACCTTTAGCTCCCAGTTTCTAGGAGTTCTCTAAGAGTTCTTCACACACATCTTCCATTCGTCTACCTTCCTTGCAAATGCAATCATGCCCATTTGATTGGGAGGGAGGAGATGATGAGGCTGGGAGTGGTACAACTCAGGTTATATAAGGTGACTGACTCCCTTCCCCAAACATGCACGATCCAGAGGAGCTTAAAGGTAAAACAAGTGTCTAACATGACTTTCTGAAGGTGGCAATGAGAATAAGAAGAACATGAGTAGGCAGCAATTCTAACAAAATTATATAACTCTACTGGCAGAATGCCCAGCATTCAGCCAGTATTTACGATACTGTAAGGGGTAAACAGAAAGGTAAGAGGACCTTAGAGGCTAACACTTTCCCAGTCATTAACCAATTAAATTAGAGAACGGAACAGGTTGGTTCATACCCCCAATCAAGTTGCCTTATTATAATTAAGTAGGAATGAACAGCATAGGAAAATGGAGGAAGTCTTTCTTTTTATCTTTTTAGTCCCAGGTTCCCATCTTTCTTTAGAAGCAGATTGTTTCACAGAAGATTAAAAGATAGTACCGCTTTTGTATTAAAACTTCCCTTTCTAAACAATACTCAGAATATCGTATTTGGTAGATACCTGTCACCAGGCAGTACATGCCAAGCAGGCAATGGATCAGAGTTTTCTCTGTATGATAACTCTTCACTTCTGTATTGAGCGCAAAAAAGTTAGAAATGTTTACCTGGCTTTCGTGCCTTGGAAGGAAGTTTAAATGATGCTAGGCCTCAAACTGATTTCCCCGGCTCAGTTGCAGTGAGAGTGTCTTCAGGATGGGATGTTGTTGACGTGAATGCTGAGAAGTGAATGCTTTTCTTTTTATAAACACCCCAGCAGTAGCTTGGCAGAGGCACATTACCCCATTTGTGTTCTGCTATTTATATCTGGCCCCCACACTATGCCTTGGAATCACTGCTGTTAACACTTTAAGTCTCTAAGAGACTTGTAAAGCCACCAGAAATTCCTTATAACCATGCAAGTTCAGTCCAGGTTCTGAGCTTGTCCTTGAAAGGAATCACTTCCTATTCTAACCCTTTGACAGGGGATGCATAGCGTCGTGTTAGCTAGAGGGCTCAGGTGACTAAGAGGGCTTCCTCGCTGCTGTGATGGCCAGGGCCACGGCCACTCATTCCGTCAGTCAGCTTAAGATATTTCAGGTCATGGGCCAGGTACACAGTCAAGTAAAACCAAGTGCTGAAAAAGAACCACCGTCGAAGACAAGGCACAAGCGTGCATACTTGATTGAGGTACAATACCCATCCTAAGCACAGACAGTGTCCGGCGAGAACTCTGGGAGGAAGTTGCTGGTCATGCCGGCAGTGTAGTATGCTTACTGAGTGAGGTGCATGTGCACTGGCTGCAATGCTAAACAACACTTAGGCTTTCACTGACCAAAGATTGAAAAAAAACCCTCAAGATGTCCTAGGAAATGGATGCATATTTACATAAAAATATATTAGCAGAATGTTGGTAGCAGCATTATTCACAATGGCCCAAAGACCACCCAAATTCCTAGAATGGATAAACGGAAACAATTCATACAATGGGATTTTATGTAGTGTTAAAATGAACAAACTCTAATAATATGTAACAATATGAATAAATCTTACAAACAAAAATTTGAACAAGGGGGCTGGGAAGGTGGCTCAGTGGTAGAGCGCTTGCCTTGCATGCCAGAGGCCCTGGTTTCGATTCCTCAGCACCACATAAGCAAAAAGAAAAAAGCCGGAAGTGGCACTGTGGCTCAGTGGTAGAGCGCTAGCCTTGAGCTGAAGAGCTGAGGGACAGCGCCCAGGCCCAGAGTTCAGGCCCCACGACCGGACCCAAAAAAAAAAAAAAAAATTTTGAACAAGGTATATACTATACACTTTATATAGAGTACAAATATCAGGCAAAACCCATTTATGTTACTAAAAGTGGTCATCCTGGGTGGTAGGCAGGAGTTGGAAGGACTACAAGGGAAACATCTAGAATACTAAATGGGTTTGGGTTTTGGTTCTAGGTACCCATTATTCTACTATACTTGCTCAGTTTGTAAAAATTCAGTACATGTGGGTGCCAGAGGCTATAATCCTAGCTACTTAGGAGGTTAAGATGTGAGGATCAAGATTCAAAGCTAGACTGTGCAGGAAAGTCTGTGAAACTCATCTCTAATAAACTACCAAATAGCCAAAAGTGGAACTGTGGCTCAAGAGGTAGAACATTAGCCTCGAGCAAAAGAAGCTGAGGGACAGAGACCAAGCCCTGAGTTCAAGCCCCTGGAGCAGCACAAAAAAAAAAAAAAAAAAAGGAAAGGAAAGGAAAGGAAAGAGAAGAAAAGGAAAGGAAGGAAGGGGAGGGGAGGGGAAGAGAGGAGGAAAGGAGGGGAGGGGAGGAAAGAAGAGGAGAGAGGAGGAAAAGGGAAGGGAGGAGAGGGGAAGTAAGGGAGAGAGAGAGAAAGGAAGGAAGTAAAGAAGGAAGGAATGAAGGGAGGGAGGGAGGAAGAAAAGTGAGAAGAGAGGTTCTGAGTGTAAGATACAATACTGGTGAGTGCCCCCCCACACACACATATACACATAAAATTCACCAACATATACTTAGAATGTGTATGCTTTTCTATAATACACATTGCTTTAATAAAATACTGCAAATTATTGGAAACTATACCCATGCTTATAAAATGCTTCTGCCCGGTTCCTCTGTGCCAACATTCCTTGCAGTCGTACTGTGGATACTAGTGAACAGCAAACATGAGTCCCCCAGACTGCTGCTGGTGAAGGAGGAAGGTAGGGAAGAGAGGGCACTGCCACACGCTTAAAGGTGTGCTAGAAATCTGTGTTTTTTTTTTTTATCATTTTTAAAAGAAATTGGTTTATTATTGTTTGCAGTCATCTTACCAAATTCCACTGTGTGCCCAGTATAAAGCAAAGTTGTAGCCTATATGATATATTTTTGTGCACTAATTCATACTTTCACTTCGTAATTTTTTTTATTTTGAGCCAAGATTTCCCTCCAAAGCCCAAGTTGCCCTCAAATTCAAGATCCTCCTATCTTAGTCTCCCTATTGCCAAAGACCACCCGCCTAGCTAGATTCTTTCTTTTGACATCTGATTTGACGCTCACGCTAATACACAGTAGCCATCCTCATCTGCAATCACTGGCTGCTGCCAGTGATGCTTTTGTGTTGTTATTCTGACTGGGACACGCACTTATTCTCAGAAATGTACAACTAGTGTTGCTCATGAAACAAGACTAAAATACTGAGGATAATACTTATGAAGTGGCAGATATAGCAAAACTTTACAATCATTCAATAACTGTCAACATTAGCTCGGGTCATTTACAGTAAGGACACCCTTTACTTGCTCTCTATTTTGACTAGTGATTTCTTTCTCCTTCTTTCTTTCCTTCTTTCCTTCCCTTCTCTTCCTTCCCTCCCTTCTTTTCATTCCCTCCCTCCCTCTCTCCCTTCTTCCCTTTCTTCCTTCCCTCCCTCCCTCCTCCTCCTCCTCCTCCTTCCCCCCCCCCCCCTCTCACCAGACCTGGGGCTTGAACTCAGGCCCTGGTAACTGTCCCTGAGCTTCTTTTGCTCAAGGCTAACACTCTACCACTTAAGCCACTGTGCCATTTCTGGCTTTTCCTGTTTATGTAGTACTGAGGAATGGAACCCAGGGCTTCATGCATGCTAGGCAAGCACTCTACCACTGAGCCACATTCCCAGCCCTAGTAATGATTTCTTATAAGCTGAATCTTTTTTTTTTTTTTTTTTTGTTGGTCATGGGGCTTGAACTCTGGGCTTGGGAACTGTCCATGTACTCTTCAGCTCAAGGCAAGCACTCTACTGCTTGAGCCACAGCACCACTTCTGGTTTTCTAGTGGTTTATTGGAGATAAGAGTGTCAGAGAGTTTCCTGCCAGGGTTGGCTTGAACCGTGATCCTCAGATCTCAGCCTCCTGAATAGCTAGGATTACAGGCGTGAGCCACCAGCTCCCGGCTTAAGCTGAATCTTTATTTCCTCCTCATGTTTGATTTTTGTGTGTGTGTGCTATTAATGTGGTTTGAATTTAGGGTCTGCTGGTGCTTTACCACTTGAGCCACACATCTGCTTCTAGTTTTTTTGCTCACTAATTGGAAATAGGAGTCTCAGAGATTTTCCTACCTGGGCTGGCTTCAGATCTCAGCCTCCTGAGTAACTAAGGTTACAGGTATGAGCTACCAGTGCCTGGATTAGGTTTGATTTTTGTTTTGCTGAGAATCTTGGATTTATCTTCTAGTATTATACAAATGTATGCTAACATAGCTTTTTCTGCTGTTAAACTGATACTCTTAATACCATAGTATTCTATTCAGGCTAAGATATCAGATAACAAGAAAAGTATAACAGCTCCTAAACGATGAGTCTGCTACCAAAAGATCAGAGTTAGAGCTAGAAAGCTTCAACAGGTCTTATTTTGGGGGGGGGGGGAGGGGGGGGGGAGGTACCAGGTATTAAATTCTGGACCTTCTTCATGCTAGGTAAGTGCTTCATTAGTAAGCTTTATCTCCAGCAGTCAGATCACTATTTATTAACAAGATTGCTACATACAATAAATTTTTTTTTTTTTTTTTTTTGTCAGTCGTGGGGCTTGAACTCTGGGCCTGGGTGCTGTCCCTCAGCTCTTCAGCTCAAGGCGAGCGCTCTACCACTTGAGCTACAGCGCCACTTCCGGCTTTCTGGCGGTTTATTGGAGATAGGAGTCTCACGGTGTCTCCTGCCCGGGCTGGCTTTGAACCGCGATCCTCAGATCTCAGCCTCCTGAGTAGCTAGGATTACAGGCGTGAGCCACCAGCGCCCAGCTGCATACAATAAATTTTATGTCTAATACAAGAGATATAAGTTTCTAGAAGCTATTGTATACACTATAAAAATACTGTAGGAAGTGGCACCGTGGCTCAAGTGGTAGAGTGCTAATCTTAAGCAAAAGAAGCTCAGAGACAGCACCCAGCCTTGAGTTCAAGTCCCAGGCAAACAAACAAACAAAAAAAACCCTCTTACTTTAAAAATGACATTTTTTTTTTCATCCAAAGATAGTAATGGTCGCCTGAAAGCAAGCCTCAACAACTAGAATTTTTTGTGGAAGGAAGATGAAATATTTTCTGGTGCTCTGCTATACACTGTGCAATTGATTTTTTTTTTGTCATGTGGTTATATCTGTAGTACAGTGGTAAAAGCCTCTGTGTCATTCATTAATGAACTTGACTGTTCACTGCTGGCATATGATTAACAAATGAGTTCTTAGTTACAATCTCCTAATACTAACACCATTGTAATAGCTCCAGATCTTGTCTAGAAAACAAACACAAAACAAAAAAGGTTTATTTTAGGAAATCGCTTGAAACATAGTACAAACATGTGTGGAAAAGTAATAATGAAATCCTCCTTCTATGACTAATGTAAACTAAAATTTTTTAAAGCTCAGCTTACAAACACCAAGAATACATACAGAGACAGGTTGTCAGATCAATAAACTCAGCATGGTTTCAAAGAAAGCTGCGTAGGGATGTTAAAGAAATCTGAACAAAGGTTCAGTATAAGTAAGTACCATTTCTCTGGAATTTATCCCATAAAGCATCCATCGAGTGCTGAAAGTACTATGGACTTAAAAAAAAAAAGTGATGCTGGGGCCAGGCGCTGGTGACTCACGCCTGTAATCCTAGCAACTCAGGAGGCTGAGATCTGATGATCATGGTTCAAAGCCAGCCCAGCCAGCAAAGTCCATGAGACTCTTATCTCCAATAAGCCACCAGAAA